CGTTTCGTATTACTACCGATTAGCAGCCCGGGAAAAGCGGTCGATCGCATTTGGATTTTTGAAAAGTCACATGATCAATCCGAGTGCGACCGTTGGTCATGTGACTTGTCCTAATTGTGGAAAGGTTATAACAATGGTTCGAATGGCTCACGGTTGAAATGATCATGACTGTTCATTCAAGAACTTTCCGGCAAGGACGATCAGCTGGAAAAGACGCGAGGTCACTTAATTCAATTTTTTTTTTCAGCGGAGGCAGAAATGTTTCGACAAAATTCTATCCTGGTAATTTTAGAGCACTTGAACCACACAAACCGTCGTTATTGTGATGCTAAACTTAAGGAAAGCCACATCGGTGACCAGACGGGTCGCTCGAAATGGTCACGCGAGCTATTCAAAAATTCGGTAGTAAACACACGTTTGATTTTACATGGGGCATGGGGAAAGGTAGGCGTAAGGCTGGGTCGGTGTGGTGTCGCATGGCACTGTGGGACTATTTTGGTGGACCTGCCTAGAAGGCGCTTGGAAGTAGTGGGCGCAAGAAAGAACGGGGCGCGCGAGGGAGCGCTCCCGTTCTTTGGTATATACGTCATGGTGGGCGCCCAAATACTTCCCAGAGCCTGCTACGTAGGCTATAGTTTGACCCATCTTCCCGCGTCACTTCGCAAAACCCAATAAATAAGACCATAGGGTCTCCAGAAAAGTCGCATATTCAGTGTACAGTGTACAAAACTAACCTAAAAATTTCCAGCTACTCTGTGGGCAGTTAACCTTGCTTTTGAAGCTTCAAGTTGACTTAGCCTGAGAACACTGTTTGCCACGCGAAATGACGTCTGACAAGCGAGCGCAGAAATTCCATATTGAAGACGTGTCAAGTTTACCCAGATCTGGGTAGTGCTTCTGACTGGCTGAAGCAGATTGTCCACGCGGCAAGAGCAATCAGAGGCACTACTTAGATCTGGGTAGTGACGTGACGACATTTTTGGCGTCGCAAAATGTCGGCTGTTTTCTCAGGCTACAAATTGACTCTTTTAGCGAAGAAAAAACTCTGAATGAACACGTCATAGCTATCTGACAAAAACATTTGCCTAGCAAGCGTTACATTTGAGTTTTGAAAACTTACCGGGCTGAACAGTTTAAAAAACCCCGATAGCAATCCGTTTTATTGTCTTCAGTTTTTCCCCTCTGTGCCTTCTTCGGCGTTTGTTGTGTTATTTCAATGCTACTTGACTGTTTTAAGCCGTTATTTTTATATTTCGTTTAACTTGGTGGCAAACTTTTACAAGGAAAAGGATAAATTCGCCTTTGCCGGAACTGGACCCCAACACAACCTTTTTCTATTTACAACGCCTATACTTATTGAACTTGGGTAAGCTTCAATGGTCATGTAGCAGCTCCCTTAACCCTAAAAGCCAATTGGTTCGATACCCTAACCGTAAAACAATGGCAAATAATGATAAACAATGATGTGTTATTGTTTTCTGCGACCAATGAGGAAACACCTCACGGGCAGCTCCTACATTACTGAGCTTCAAGGATGCAGGGCTTTTCCCCTTACAAGATACTAACTTTAGATCGTGGTATTAATTTCTACCCTGCGAGCAGAGGCTACATTTTCGCTGTGTGAGCTGGCGTACGACATTTCACACAGCGAAAATGTAGCCTCTGCTCGCAGGGTAGGTATATCTTGAACCGTTAAGTCCCAAGAGTGAACAACATCAATTTTCTCCCCAAAATATCACTATATTGTCAAAAGAAAAGGCAATGAGAATTAATAAAATGATTATCTATATATGCAGATCAGTATGGAGAATTTGTATGTGGATATTGTGGCCTTGTTCATGGGCCTTTTTCACACGGCGGCCATTTTGTCCCGAGAGACTGAAATAGCTTTGTTTTTCCTGCCCAACCTCGCTCCCACGTTTTTCACTGCGAGGGTGGTATATGTAAAACAAAGCTTTCTCTGTCTCTTGGGACAACATGGCCGCCGTGTGAATAAGGCCCATAACAAAGATATACCGTCTTGAAGTTTGGAAACGCCAGCATAAGGAAACAGCTTCTGCCCACTCAACTCAGCTAACCAGCGAACAGTTGACTTGCAAAGACCTACAATCTCCACGGCGCTCCCGTCCCTGAAACAAGAGACATTCCATAGAATGTTATCATTAGATACCACCTCTTTACACTTTGCTCAGTTGTTCGAAGGCCGATTAACGCTAACAGGAGGTTAATTTGTTTAAAATTTAAAATTTACAATCCGGATTTCTTTTTCTTTTATTCGAAAGCATTTTCTCGGGTAATTTTCTCTATACTTTTAAGAGTCGCGCTAAGCAAATACTTTTGAACTTCAATATTCAGGGTCGAAACAAAAACGCACCGACCATTCATCATAAGGTGTTCATGTTTATTTCGGAAACTACACCGAAAAAAGCAGCTCTGACGCCGCAATTTTTAAAGATATTACATTTAAAGTGGATTATTCCAACAGAATGAGTTCAGGGAGTTCAGTTAAAGAACGAAGAAAAAAAAAACGAAAGAAGAAGTGGAAGAGGAATGGTAGGGACTAACTCTAGATTTACGTCCAGTTAACTGATTTGTCCGACATGAACAGAGTAAAAGAAAACGTCTGAAGAACGGCCAACCTACTTCTTATAACTCTATAGGAAATGATATTAAAGAATCTAATTCTCTCCACCCATTCAAAACGAAATTGAAAAAAAAATTCTATATGAATTATTAGTTATAAATCTTGTAGTAAATAGTTATATTTCTTCACATGTCTGATATTATTTTTATACTTATTGTTACATGTACCATACCTTATATTTTGTCAACTCAGTCTTTGTAATTACTTAATTTATACTTACCTTCATTGTATTTTACTTTCGATCCTGGCCTTACTGTTACTGTTAACTTTATTTTTACTCTGAGGGAGCCCAATGTCTATAAGCCTCATGGTTCTTTTTGGGCTTCCTCGCCACTTTCATTTGCTTTTGTGTAACTGTCTTGTTTTGTCGTCATTTGTATGTTGTGGTAAATCAAATAAAGTTACAACCGTAGTTTACTCAAGCTTTCCAGTTTAGGGAGCTTTCCACGTTAAACAAACATAAAAGCAAAGAAAACAAAAGAATGATGGCAGGGAACAACTCTTAGATGCCCAGATTAGGGAGGTGTAAGTTAAAAGAGAAAATATTTATTTTTAGCAATCACCTTGGTGTAGCTGGTACTCCAAAGTTAGCTGCCTTGTGTGATTCACCCACTTTATCCATCCACGTGCCAGCATTCCATCGATTTCCACCAAACACGAACCCAGTACTCTCCCGGACACCAACAGTGACGTTGAAACCTGCACTTGTCATGTGACTGTCCAGATCTGGCCCAGCCCCCCGCTCACGAAAACTGATGCCAATGAAATGTCGCTGCATAACTTCTTGAATGACGTCATACAAGGGTTGGTCCTTAAACAAAGATTGGTTCAAGATCAATTTCCTCCTAATAATGTCAATACATAATTGAGAAAAAAAGTTCACAAAAATACTTTGATCGTTCAACAAATTCTCTTAAATAATTATTTAAGGAAAACGTATGGAGATCAGTCTGGAGAATTGGCGTCTGGATATTACGCATTTAACGTCACCCCTCCAAGACGAGGTCATCTGAACCATGACCAGGTCTTTATCACGGCCACCATGATCTCACATCTCTTTGAAGACCCTGGTTACCGGTCCGGTGTTGATCCTTTCCCGTAACCTTCTGACTTGTCCTGGTCCTACGCAGCCGTTGCCGTATCGTCACGCAACGCTCTTTCCCAAGTTTCTTGGGAAGGAGCGTGACGAGACAAAAACAGCTGCGAAGGAAACTTGGGGTTCTTACCATTTACATCGGAAAACAGGAAATTCCAATTGGAAAATCAAATGCTTTGCACCATTTCGTTTGGAAGTTTCAGGAAATAAAAGCTGTGATTTGAAGCGAGGCAATTTTTCTACTCTTCTGAGTCTGTTTAGCTGATTTGAATATACTTTGAGGAGATCGTTCTGGCAACAAAACGTTTATAGTTTTATGTTTATGAACAAGATTTCTACCCGGGTAATTTTTGTATAATAGTAAGCACCCTAGGTTTAGTTTGTTAGCTTACGCATTTTCCTGGCTGCTGTGGCTGCGAAGAATCTGACGGGAATATCCGGGACACAGGATCAGAAAGGATCTTCAGTCCGTCCGGGACAATGGTGCAATAATCCTGAATACACTGAAGCCACCACCAAGATGCGTCCCTGCAGTTGTATCGAGGCTTACGCCCACCATCCAGCAGGTTTGGAATTAGTCCATGGCGAACACATGCTGCGTAACCCAGAATGTGATGTCTGGGGTGAAAATGTCGTAAGATGTAGAGGTTAATTCGATGTGTGAGTGGTTGTTTACCATCTACAAAAAGCTTCCGGAGAATCCGTTTGGAGAGTAAATGGAACACGACTTTCAGGGTCGCTCCAGAGCAACGGAACATCTGAAAAGGTAGTCCTCTTCCCGGACAAAATGTTCCAAACTGAAAATTCGTGTCCCATTTCTTCAAAGTCATCTTTGAAACCAGTTTCACGCCTCGCAGCCGTTTTTCGGAAAATGAAACTGATTTGTACAAACGGTAAACGCGATTCCGGTACGAAATTAACCAGTCCTGAATTTTGCCTACAATTTACCTAAACCGTGAACCGAGCGGTTTGCCCGTGTAAATGGTAAACAACCAGTGTTTTTTAAAATACCATATTGAACACATTGCAGTGAAAATAAGTAAAACAGTTGGTATTATTGCGAAACGTAGACATTTTGTGTCACCAAATTCTCTACTGCACTACCATAAAGCTGTAATTTCCCCTATATATCTTATGGACGAAGAGTAAATTGCGAGTAAATCGCTACCTGAAGAACATTTTCATCCTTAAATTTTCCGTAGAGAGACATGAATATGCTGCCTCTCTCTTTACTGATGCTAATATCCTACCAGTAAAATTTTAATTATCCCGAACCCGTTTGTAAAGCTTTTGATCGATTGAAAATTCTTTCAACCAATCAGGAGCACTGTCCAGATCTGGGTAGTGACGCGTCATCAGTATGGAATTTCTGCGCTTGTTTCTCAGACGTCATTTCGCGGGGAAACCAGTGGTGGCGTCGCGCAATGTCAGCAGTTTGCCTTTGCTACAGTTGACCTGTTACCAAGCAACAAAACCGTTCTTTTCGCCATTATTTTCGTGCTTCAACTGACGACGAGTGTGCCGAAAAGTCTGTGATGATCTATACACTGAAATAATGAAAACCGGTCGCACTGCAGGCTTAATTGGCAACCTCAGCCAAATCCTATTTCTCTAGAAACGGTTGATCGCAATAGAACAAGGTCAAAATGTTAAAACGGGTACCTTGCATCTTGGTATCTCCCAGTAATAATCAGCAAGCCTCGGAGGGCTATGAAGGTGTCTCTTCCCCAGCATCTCATGAAGCCAGTGGAGAAATGAGGCAAGCCCGCTGCCATTGACATCAGCGTGGGCATAGCTGACCCGGATGTTGGACCATGATACAGTTTGGGTGACAGAACAGGAAGCGAGGACGAGCCACACAAACCAACGAACTGGAGCGAGCCAAGGGCAAGAGTCTTGAGGAAGGACGAGCCATTCTTAACAAAACTGAGACAAAATGTAAAATCATATCAGGGTAATGTCACCAAAATCATCATGCAAACACCAGGACCCGGTTGCTTAGAGAAAGCACTGTCCAATAAAAAGTACGTTAATATCAGTAAATATCCATTGGATAATGATTTTTCCAGTGGAAAGTTTTACCCAGCCATGAACAAATGCAAACATAAAAAAGTCAGAATTTCGAATTGGATGACGACGTTTTGAACAGAACAGAAGTATAGTAGTTGTTCAAAGGGGAAAAAAAGCGCGGGGGATGATGGGCAGGGGAAAGAGAGGAAAGCCTTCCCATCGTCCACCGCGCGATTATTGTTTTTTTCCAATCATTTCTTTTTTATTGGAATACTCAGAGAAAGCCTCTGTGAATGAGAGAGGTTCAAGCGGCTTTCAACCCAACACTTTCACCGAAGATGATTATAAAGAACACAACAATATGTCCGCGGGAAAAGTAAAAACATACAAAGCCACGCGATTAGCTTAAATCATTTCAGAATTTCGAGTAAGGGATATGTGATTGAATGTATTGATAACGGCGTTTTGAAAGGAAGGGAATTATGGTAATTACAGGTAGTCTACTGAGAATTTATTCTTATCCTTAGAGCAGCTACAAACACGAACAATGTCACAGGATTTATATTTTGCATAAGAAAACAAACCTTGACATTTGTGCCCAAGCACTCTCCAGTAATTTGAGAAAGAGTGGAGTCACAATAGCATCAAAATAGCATGGTACGAGATAACGAGGACATTCCTTCACCAGCCCAAACGCTTTGTCAAGCCAAACTCCCAACTGTTGGAGGAATTACCAGAACTGATGTGGGTTAAAAATTCACGCTCACAAAAGGGTTATTGGATCTACATAATACAAATTCTGTTCAAACTTCAAGATTTTTTGTTCAAGCGTTCTTCGAAAATTCCTTGTGGACTTCAAAATGGACAAAGTTCGTTATAATCGAGATAACTGACCATAGGCCCTCATTACTATGGTAACCACCATTGCTAAGAAACTGAATGAAACAGAAACTCCTGTCAGAGGAAATAGAGAAGCCTTTGTCTTTCTCTATTTCCTGATTTTAAAAGATACATCCCAGACGAACAAACTTAAGAAACTTATACGATCTACAATTTTGCACGTGCGATGTTTTTACTGTAGGATTATGACAAAAAATATAGTGTGTAAATCAAACTTACAACTGAATTGCGAATATCTTAGGTTTATTGTACACCCTACGATGTTTATTAGCTTTATAGTCTTTCAAAAGGTTGAGTTTGATCGTCCGGGTGAACGTAGTCCTGAATAGGACTACTCAACCTCTGTTTGACTTCGACGTACTTTCAGTACAACGACAAACACTACAAACAGTTACACGGTACAGCTATGGGCTCTCCAGTTTCTGTTGTTGAAGCAGAAATTGTCATACAAAACATCGAGGAACAAGCCCTAGCTACCTACACGCGAACTGTACCTCTTTGGTTACGTTACGTTGACGACACATTCACCGCCGTACACAAAGACGGAATTGACGATTTTCACGAACACCTTAACAGAAAGAACGCGGACATACAGTTCACCAAGGAGATCGAAGAAAATGGTAAGATACCTTTTCTAGACTGCTTGGTCACTCGCGACAACAACAAACTAAAAACGACTATTTACAGAAAACCGACACATACCGACCGATTACTAGACCAGTCTTCGTACAACCCGACCTCTCACAAGGCTACTACTATCCGGACTCTGACGAGACGAGCGCAACTAGTTTGCGACTCACATGACAGCCTACAAGACGAGACTGATTATCTTAAAAACGTTTTTAGTAAGAACAATTACAACACGGACTTTGTTAGACGGAACACTCACAGTAACACTGATTACAACTCTCAGACAAACTCTGGCCCTGTTACGACAGCGACTATACCGTACATCAAGGCACCTCTGAAACTATTGCACGTATATTACAACCTTACAATATACGTGTTGCGCACAAACCGATAACCACTTTACGGCGACTGCTTACTAATGTCAAGGACAAAGACAAACCGGAGGACAGACAGGGAGCAGTATACAAGATCAAATGCTGCGACTGCCAGGCTTCTTACATTGGTGAAACCGGCAGAAACCTAAGCACGCGACTGACCGAACACAAACGCGCGACGAGGAATGGTGACGTCAACAATCACATTGCTGAGCACCATTTAAAGACGAAACATCAAATTGACTGGGACTCTGCGACATGTATAACGTATTCTACAGACTACTATCAACGTCTTACTTTAGAAAGCTGGTTTACTAACTTAGAACAAACGCCACTGAATCGTAGCCAACAGTTACCAGCGCCGTACAAACGACTTATTGACGAGATCAAGGAAAACTAACTACGAGAGAACAACTGGAGAACTGACAATTTGACTAACAATAGACGACTGTTTAACTGTGACAATAGACGGATCGAAACGCACCAATCACTGATTACGAGTCTTCATAGCCAATAACATCACGGCTTAACTGACAGACGACCAATAACATCGCGACATAATTGACCAATCAGATCAATAACCAGAGTATAATACCATCAACTGACGTGACACAACTCCCTTTGACTCTGAAGATGACTACCGCACAGGTTGTCGAAACGTCAGTCACTGTCAACAACAACAGTCCTATTGAGGACTACGTTCACCCGGACGATCAAACTCAACCTTTTGATATGACTCCTGGGTTCAAACCTTTCACAGTTTTATAGCCTTTGATATCATCATGTCCGACAACAGAAAAGTATTAGTTAAACATGGACCATCTCCAACAAATCCCCTTCGTTGGGAATACATAATGGTTTCAACATCAGGCAATTTCACAAAAACTTTAAATGACTGACCTGTCTGGTACCAATAAAAGGCATAAGTCTTGTTACAACATAATCCATCAACCAGTCTCCATCTCTGAGGTTTCTACACAGAGGATGCGCCAGATCATTAAACTGACGAACATTGGCCAGAACAGATATTATACCTATGATGAATAATACAAGTTTTTTTTTCACAGCTTTATTGGGTGCTCCTCTAGTGAATACAATATAAATTTGTAATACAACACACAAAAAAACAGAAAAAAAAAGAAGCAAAAACCCAAAAGGGGTAGGTGCAACGGGACTAACGTCCCATGCGAGGCACCGCCCCTAGATCAAGACCTAGGTTAAAAAAATTAAATGAGTACATGAACACTCATACAAAAAAAATTACGAGTGGCATGGGCACGTAGGGACTAGTGTCCACGTGCAGGGGTAATTGATTTCATATACCCGCGAAAGGTGAGTGCTCAAAAATGTGGACATTGAGCGAATCAGAGACACCGCAGCAGAATTAGCTCAGTCGGTTGAGCGCTTGACTCCAGAGGGGAAGGACGTGGGCTCGATTAACAGGGCCGGACCAATACTTAGGGTCTTAAAAGAAGCCTCTGCCCTGCAAACGGCTAGACATTCGCTCGGTTTGAATGACCAACTAAAAAGGAAGTCCCGTCTCTAGACGGGGATGTAAAAATACTTACTAGTGCCCTAAATTAGTACATCCGTGCCAAATACATCGACACTCAAATAATTATGCCGGGAAAGAAATCCAACTAGAGTAACGTCAAGGCTTTACTTGCCAGTGCTCTGAACCTCATGAAATCTAAGGGACCCAGAATACCCTTTTTTACAAAATACCCTCCTAAGATTTCCTAGTCGCCCTGGAGAAAAAGTAAGGTGATGTGGGCTACCGTAGAGCACAGCCCTGAATGTGAGAATTCCGTTTAATGTGACACAATATGACCAATGTAACTAATAGCAATAGACTTCACGATTTCACAATCTTTTATCAAGGTCTGTAGTGAATTTATGTTGATGTAAATGTATTCATTTCTTGAGCTAACTAAGGAGAAGAAATATGCGATTTTGTAAGCTGGGGAAAGTATTTAAGGAAACTTACTGCGTGCTTTATTCAAGAGTATTAAGAAAACGGTGGCCTATTTATCTATTCTTTGATATGCATCTAAATTAGCCTTTCTGGTATCGTTTGAAAGTAAGAATTCTTTTGTATTTTGCACATGCTAACGAGGTCAGAAGGACTAATCATCATATAAAAGAATATATTCATAGGCCGCAGTTATGAAAGAAATCTATACAATGGAAGCAGGCCAATTTTGTTGAGTTTATCTTAACCCGTGAAAGGCATAAAACATGGAATAAAGATCATGTGAAGGGCAGGAAATACAAATTTAATAGATTGCACGATTGTAGACCACAGTGCATACCTATAAATCACAAAACACTCCAGTTCATACCTTGAAAACCACAATACACCAACGCTCCAGTTTCGGGAAGAACGTATACTCCTCCCCCATTACCATCATCTCTCTCCTCAGGATCCGCTCGGTACAGCACGCGGTTGAGATCAGACAACGACAAGTTGCCGATTATCGCGTTCAATTCATCGATTTTTTTGTAACTCTCTTGATTCCCGGATCTTTTCTCGTACAAATCCACAGCCAGTCGTCTGTAGAACGTAAATTAAAAATAAAGTTAACTCCCGATATTAATCGAAGCCTCACACTATCTTTCAAACCAAAATTGATTTCCGCTTGATTTTCTTCATACATTTACTGTAATTTTACCCTCTATCAGGTAACTCGAACCCTCGATAACTCGAAGCAGTTTTTTATTTCCTTGCCGTTCTTGGAGTCGTCATGCAACGCTTTTTTCCCCAGTTCCCTCTTTCTAAGGGAATAGCGTTGTGTGACGTCACAAAGAATAGTTCTGCAGGAGGCCATCTTGGTTAAGGACCAAAGGCAATCACTTTATTTAACTAGTATTAGCTATTTATATGCAAAACATACCTTAATTGACCTAAAGCATGTTTCACTTTGCTTTCCATGGTGATGTCAAATGCAACCACACTACCAGGGGCAAAGTTCTCAAAATGAACTTCAAATGTGTTGTCGCCTATTCGCTCAGGACGGCAGGTCTAAAAGTATAAACGGAGTACACGTTAACTTTTAAAGCCTTAGAAGAATACAAGGTAGCCTGTGAGCCAGCTCTCTGGGGTAGCGGGAGAAGGGCCCCTTTTCCCCCCCCCCCACGCCCCGCGTTCTTTATTACAGGCTAAATTCGCGGGGAATGCTTGGAAGGACAAAAAAGCAGCCCGATTATCGTTCAGTCTTCAATTTTTTGGCGTCAAGTTGTGGTAAAAGCACTACTGACCAACTGGCCTCTTTTCTTTTTTCTTTTGCTCTTAAAAAATACATTTGATGCTCCCACGATTTTTTATACGATACAGATCAGAATACAAAAGGCACGATTCGATACATGATGCGATGCTTCAGTACGGGGCGGAACTAGACCACTTCCCATTGCTTGTAGGCGCAGTAGACAGTACAGCTGACAAGTGGTAAATTTTAGTAAGCATACGTTTGTTTTGCATCTTTTCTCCCTCCTTAAATAAGACGAAAAGCATGCGAAGCAGGGATGGTTTGCCCTTTCATTTGTTTTCAACATAAATCGCTTTGCAAAAATACAGAGTTACATGTAAGGTCAGGAATACTATAAACAGTGAGTTTAAAATTGTTTCGATGCAGCATATGTTACTGTATCGTCATTTCTTGTTCAAATATCGATAAAAATGTGAACAAATATCGCGGTACATATATGGTGGCATGGTCGTATCGTTGAAGCCCTATTCGTCTTTCTCGGTAGGTCAACAGAGTCACGGCAAAATGGATTCTCTTTGAAAAAGTGCACAGGAATATCGAATTTCTCTTGCGCTAATCACTAGTGCCTTTTTTTTTACTGCGCCCGATTCATACCTTGGCTTTGTGTAGAGGGACATGTCTTTGTATTTCGACCTCGTGTGACTGGAGACCGTTAATGAACTCTGCGTCTTCACTAAAATCACTTGTGTCTAGCTTGCGCATCAATCTTGCTTCGAAAATGACCTCCTCTAGTTCACCTATTCAATTAAAAGACATCACTATCAAAGTCTTGTATTCATTAACGACGTAGCTGATCCGAAACCAGCAGCACATAAGGCGCTTTCCTTTTACCAAAAACTTTGAGAAACTTCCAAGGAAAGGTCCATCGAGCGAAGAACGTGTTCCATTTGACACAAGTTCCATTCTTTCACGCTCTCGTCACCAAAATTCAAAATGGTGACACAGATATCGCCGTGAATAGCCTCGAACTGGTGATTCCTCGTGAAAACTCGTAAATGGAACATGCATTTCCACCGGAAAGTTTCCAACGGGAAAAGAGGACTACTTTTTCAAAATCCCACTTATTCCCGGGAATTTTTCAACCAGAATTTCCTGAATTTCTTGGTAAATGGAAAGCGCACAGAGTATTGTGATCAATTGAAGAGAGTTTTGAGACTCCGCTTTGATAATTCGCTACTTTATAAACAAGGAAACTGGGCGGAATTAACTTTGGCGAAGACTTCTGGGACAGTAACTATTTGATCTGTATCTGAATCAGATAATGTATAAATTGCTGGAATTAATGAGAAGAATTCATGGGTTTCGTTGAGCCCTAGAGGGATTACTCCTTATTTTCTTAGAAAAACACAGAGGAAGATGTTTCTTTTACTGACGGCTCACATGTTCGGACCCCACGGCGTGACACCAACATGGCGTTGCCATACAAAGCTCTCTAAGCTTAGGTGAAGAACAATTCTCCGGATAACTAAGTACACAAATACTGCACGGACACGAAATCTTCGAGAGACTATTTGAATAATTGTCTCCCTTCATTTCTTCGATTCATAAATTTATTGGAATAGTTTAGATTTTAATTTTCGATGGCGTAACCTTCTGTCGCGGAGATTTTAAAATGAAACGGTTTAAAACAACTCCCGTACTTGTCTCGCTACATGTTTCTTTTTCACCACTCGCCCCTCTCCCTCCCTCAGTTTAATTCCCAGTCTCTCTCGGTTTTACCAGTTAAAACCGGTTTGCGAAGCTTACGTCACTTTCTCGCCACATGTCATGCCACACTCTTAACACTACCGCTTTTTCGCTCCGACACCTGAAAACCATGCAGCAATATATATGCACAAATAACCTGGTATGGTGAGTGGTGGGATTCCACCCATGTGAATATTCTGTCTTTGAATGGTGGGCTGCAGGTCTTCAGAAGGGTGATGAAAAGCTGAATGCGCCACTAAGACAACAGTCTTTCGTTGATCTGGATTGTGTCTGGTGATGGCATGGACATCATGATGAATCTGATCCACATACACCTGTCAGTCAATGAGAAAGAGGATGTGATCATCAGTTTGTAGCGAACGTGGGACAAAGAATTATATAAAACATGGGTGCATTCCATTTAACAAAAACTCCGGTTTGAAATTTCGGAAATTCCACGTGCAAAATGGAACGGTACATTCCGGTTGCACAGACTCGACCCGAGCCACCGCACGCTTGGTTATTATTCTTCTAAGCAGGTTACAAAAGAGCGGTACTGGGGACAACAATTTTGTCAACTGGATAGGGTCATTTCGGTCCGACCGAACGAAATGATCAGTGACCGGTCAAAGTGGACCACCTTCAAAGCTGGTCCCGAGTATTCCGGTCGGACCAAACCGAAATGGTCCGTTCCCTGTGATGTACCAACCGAAATTTCCGCAATTTCCGGAATTTTGGGTTGAATGAAAAGCACCCCATGAGTCCCCGACTCACGAACCAACGACCTCCAGAACATATTTCGCGCCAACCTCGTTCCCAGGGTTCTCCCACTTGGAACCAATTGCACTATGCCCAATTGCTAAAGCAATCTTCGTGAATAATAGCATAACACTAAGTTAGGTGTATATTATGGAAAACTTTAGTGTCATGCTATTTATTACATTACTGTTTTATACTGTACAAAAGTAAAAGGTGTTTCTAACTTTTACGTCTGTAGATGATACCCCGAGGTGTGACCATTTAACTGAAAGGTGCTGAGCAGTATTTGCCGTGACTTTTTATTTCATGGAGCTAACGTGTGAGATCCTAACGCGTGACCATTAAAAAGAAGTCTCTCACTATAATCGTTGGTGAAACTACCGAGAAACTGTCCTCATATGGGGTACTTCGATGAACAAAACAATTTGCAACCTTCCCCTCCCCTAACATTCAAATTTTGGGAGTTACGTGTCTTCTAGATGCAGGTAGTTCGAACAGCGGCACAACATTACTTGGAATGGATGAGGGAGTGAAAACTTGAATTTCCCCTCTTGAAGTCAGTAACACCTCAGAAAGGCTCTTTAAGTAAAGTGTCTGAACTAATTTTGTTTTGCCGCCGATTGTAGAGAACAAATTTGTTACAGTTCTATGGTCGACTTCTCCCTCCTAACAGACCCACACAACTCGGTCGTAAGAAAGGAAATAGGACCGCCGTGGTTGGGTTAACTGTGCTGGAATATGCTACTGACCTGTGAGTATCCCTGTTCGCCAAGCCACCTGTGTAACTCATTAATGGCTCGTTTAGCGGACAGAATGCCATCAGTTTCCTTGAGAAACGCTTTTCCCTTGAGTTTGGAAGTTTTACTTGGCCAGGAGAGGTAATAACGATCTTCATTTACCACGTGGATCTAAAGACAAAAATATTCGTAAAGAAAAATATTTGTATTTGCAAAATCTCCCCAAATAAGTCACTTTTTGACATACATGACAGCTCTCTTGGCCGCCACACATAAAAGCCATGTCACGCGAAGGTTAGAAATTCAAGCGTACTTTATCACAAAACGAAGAACCCTTTTGAAGTGAAAATGATTTGCAAAAATTTACGTTTGTAGCCGCTCTAACTCTTAAGGAAAGTAAAAACTAAGGAGGATCGATTATTCTCTATTTTTGAATTTTAACGACGTCATGTGAAAACCAAGAATTGAGGGATTTTTTTTAAAAAAATGGCACACACCTAGAAGTAGGAGGGTCTAAGAATCATTTTCTTTTTCATCTTACTTTTAAAACACCACAATGACCGGTTTTGGGCTAGAGACGTTAAAGTCGTCCGAGACGTTTAAGTCGTCATAAGACGTCTTTAACGTCTAGTGTAAAAACGGTAAATAAGACAAACGCATTTAACGTCTGACGACATTGGTCGTTATTATGCTAGGGACATTGTCTGACGACATTAACGTCTTCTTTTGAGTGCATCGTTTAGACGCATTTAACGGTGGGAACGAACGTCAGTATCATACTTTAAGCCGATCTTGACGTCTTCCTTTAGGTCTGCGGTACTGTATGTTGCGTAACTTGAATGAAACGCAATTACTGCGTGATCGAAATGATCATTATGAAAGGGAAAATCCTTAAATATCAATGACCGAGACCAGGTTTAATGAGCCCGGGAGAATGAGCGCCTCACTCAAACCCTCGTTTTCACTGAAACCGCTGGACGCCAGCCTGGTTGAGGTCATTGTTATCTAAGGTCTTCCTGTGAATGGGTTTTCAAATAGAGTTTTGGATGTTACCACGACAAATTTTACTACTCTGGACCCTCCGTAAATTCTCATACAAAAACTAGTAACTTGGGTTCGAGGAGGTTGTTGTGAGTTTCTCACTCCGGGGGGCACTGCCTTATTTGGCCTAGACGGGTATGTGCCGCTAACAAGAGTCAGGTTATTGAGCCTTAAATAGGGTTTTCAATTTCACTTTTTATCGTCTTGAACAGGGGGTCTTTTTGGACTTGAAGGCTTAAAAAAGAGTGTAAAGAGTGTAACGGTCGACGACTTGTGAACGGTCTACATGAGTGGTACCAACAATTGTTTTAAATCAATTCTTTGATGTTTGTTAAAACGAGACAGACTAATTCTGTGTGCGAGACGAAATGAATCTAGGTCCTTTATCGAAATGATCGATTTTTGTTTTAGGGTTTGAAGGGCTCAGCGGCACACCTCTACCCAAACAACCCTTGTTTCCCCCCGAGCCCTGAATCCCTTCGCGAGCGATACCAGCCAATACCCTTTCGTGACTATTTTCAAAAACGTATGAATGACACATAGCCTCGTTTAAACTTTCGACATGCGAAGCAGATTATTCTTCTTTAATTTCTTATCATGAGCCTCTATCATCATAATGGCCGTACAAACATGTTTTATAGCATTGCGGAGTATACCTTAATCTGTTTACAAAAGTGAATGTCCAATCGCAAGACAAATCTAACAATCACTAGCGGATTGTACGGATTTTTTAGGCTGTCTGTGACGCAGGGTATTTCATTGTAAGGAAATGCTTCAAATTTCTACCAGCAGATTTTCTGATAGTATCACTTCCTCGCGTCGCTTCAGAGGGCCCTCAGAGGAAATTAGCTAGGCGACCGCGCATTATTAACTTTGCGCGTAGTCAATCATTATAGCCGCTGTTAAGGTGGCTCGACTGGATTTTTTTAGGGCGATACCTCCCAAGTTTGAGCCTTAACTACGTCGGCATGAGTAAAGATATCGAAAAAAGGTTACCACAACTGTATTACATAAAGATAAAAATTTCTTATGATCTGGGTTTTATTGCAATCGGAGTCGCCATGGCAACGTAATGACGCCATTACGTTTTTCATTTATTCTTGTTTTTCTCTGTACCAGGAGTTTTTTGAAGAAATCGCTTAGGGGAGTGTGTAGGTGCCATAATTGCCTCCATTATGGCAAAGTTTGAAGAAATTCTATAAGAGCGTTTTCGAAATATTTTGAAATGCAGTTTTAAGAATCATAAAAACAGTGAAATAGCATGCTAGCCGCTCAATTCGCTAATATATTAAGAAAATGATAAGCTCTGGGAACGCGGCTTCATCTCATGGTGGATTGATTCCATTGAAAACTGCATACAAAAAAAGAGGGGAATTGCTCGGGGCGATCGCGAGTAAGAAGGATTTTATTAACTTGCATTCAGCTGCTTTGGATACAGGTTTTGGAGGTAATTTGGTCCATGCCTAAAAATTTCGCATTTTTCCAAAAACCGCTCGATAAATTTTTTTATAAATTGGACAATTCCGAGATCAATCGTCACGAAATATTCCCTGCAAGTTTTAAGAACATTGAAAACAGGGAAGGCTTTTAAATAGGGCCTCAAATATAGCCAATTTTCCCCCAGATTTTGTGTGTACAAGTGAGCGTCCTCATTATTCACTGGCATTGTTTTCAAGTTTCATATACACGTGCACATTTAGCAAAAAGATAGAATTTGCATCAAAAAGGACCCTCGGGTAAATCTTCGGGATATGCTAATTACCGGGTAAAGAGATTAATGATACATTTTAACATCAGAGCAACTCTTTGTGAGAGTTTCTGTGACGTTATAACCCGAGTAAGTTAATTAAGTATTGCATCCTACACGATGGACCGAGACGTTCACCGTTTCGGCTCTCACTGCTATCTGTGACGACAAGCCAATTATTTATAGGATATACCGGATATTTCTTCGGAAAGTAATCGAGAGTTCTTTTTGATGCAAATTTATATTTTTTGCTAGTTGTGCACGTGCATATGAAACTTGAAAACAATGCCAGTGAATAATGAAGACGCTCACTTGTAAACACAAAATCTGGGGGGAAAATTGGTTATGTTTGAGTCCCTATTTAAAAGCCTTCCCTGTTTTCAATGTTCTTGAAACTTGCAGGGAATATTTCTTGACGATTGATCTCGGAATTGTCCAACTTATAAAAAAATTTATCGAGCGGTTTTTGAAAAAATTTGAAATTTTTAGGCATGGACCAAATTACCTCCAAAAATTGTATAAAAAGCAGCTGAATGCAAGTTAATAAAATTCTTCTTACTCGCGATCGCCCAGAGCAATTCCCCTCTTTTTTTGTATGCAGTTTTCAATGGAAACAAACCACTATGAGATGAAGCCGCGTTCCCAAAGCTTATCATTTTCTTAAAATATCAGCGAATTGAGCGGCTAACATCCTATTTCACTGCTTTGATGATTCTTAAAACTGCATTTCGAAATATTTCGAAAACGCTCTCATAGAATTTTTTCAAACTTTGCCATAATGGAGGCAATTATGGCAGCTACATACTCCCTTAAGCGATTTCTTCAAAAAACTCCTGGTACAGAGAAAAACAAGGATAAATGAAAAACGTAATGGCGTCATTACGTTGCCATGGCGACTCTGATTGCAATAAAACCCAGATCATAAGAAATTTTCATCTTTATGTAATACAGTTGTGGTAACCTTTTTTCGATATCTTTACTCGTGCCGACGTAGTTAATGCTCAAACTTGGGAGGTATCAACCCCAAAAAATCCAGTCGAGCCACCTTATACTCAACAGACAAAATGCGTGGTAATAGGTGATGAAAGAAAAGTATGCGCATTAGCTATTTTTGAAAAGCTATGGTAATAAAGACACAGTGTTAAGAAGAATGGCCCAGTGTGTGTGTGTAATTTGGGCCGTCACGAAGTTTTATTTTTTGCCCTGAGCGTGCATGGCGGCGAACGCGCGATTGACAAATAAACTCAATAAAGGAACTTTGTTGCGACATTATTGACTCCTCAGAGTTTTCAAGTTAAAAAGAACCTTTCAGATAAGTAGAATAACATTTAGCTTACATGATTCCCAGCTCAGATTTTTATTAGTAATTCGTCTTCGCGAGTAACAGCCAACTTTTTATCGCTTTCCAAGCTCTTCGATCACAACATGACCAACATGGCCTCCGCGATTCAAGGTCAAGAAGAGCACAATCAAAATTTAGAGAGACTGTGCCGTCTATGTGCTGGGTTTGTCGCTAAATTTCATGATCTTTACGAAACGAGTCATTAATGTGCGGAAAAAAGGGAATTCGTAATTCAGAATTTTGGAGTTAATGTCTCAAAAGATGACCCTCAAATACACCCCGCCAGGTTCTGCAACCTCTGTTACCTTACCCAAACTCGCATTCAAGCACCCGTCTTTTATTATTGCTCGCAAAATAGAAGAAGTCAAATCAGGCAGTACAATTACGTAACGCTTTGAAGAACCGAATAACTTTCAATTTTGTGACGAAGTTAAAGAGGACTTTAAATGCCCTATTTGTAAGGACATACCCTGGCCAGATTGTTGCTGGGCAGTTTAATATTGCCCCAAACCCTGCCCCAGCCCCTAACACAGCAGAATCCCCTTCAGTCACTCCGAAGGAGGCGAAGAGGCAGATTTCCAAAGGGGAGATCAGTCCTGAAATTGAGCGCATGAGGAGTTTTGTTTCTCAAGTCAAAAATGAAGTCATCAGCTGCTGAAAAAACAGCCTTGCTTAAAACAGGAGGAACGCTACAGCAATTTGTTTTCGCTGTTTAAAGTACAAATTCAGTCAATTAATAACACAAAATGTGAAAGTATTTATTTGTATCATTTTTCAGCCTATAAGGGTAGTTGCAGTGCCACAGCCACAAAAAGCCAGTGATGAAGTAAGCTAGCGACAGTTACGGAAACGGACTAAACGTGACTAAGGCCCTTGGAGATATTGGAACGGCTGTGAGCAAAGGGAAGTCTACTCTCCACCTCATCCACCAAGTCCGAACCCAGAAAAAGAAGTGTCAGGAGCTTCTTGAGGAGGCACAAGGGAAAGATTTGTTCCTGGAAGTCCAAGAGGGAGAGGCCCTAGCAATGAAGGCTGACATAGGACTACCATGGTTTCGACTTAAATAAATTACGCAGGTTCTTAAAAAATGGACTGCAATTCATATACTTGCATCTGAACAGCTTATTAGACTTTGGGGCAATATCAATATGGTAATGGACATCAAGGAGAAGATAACAAGCTTCATTGACAGCCATTCCAAGTAAATACACCCTATTGTTATTGTTAAAATTAACATTTTGACATTAGACAACAACAAAGTTTTGATACAACATATTGGGTTGGCATGATTTTGTGTTATACTATCATTATCTTTCCAGGGCTAAGCTTCTCACCTGGCATGATGGAAACATTCCTGAGGACGAAATTTATGTACCAAGACGCTACGGAGCGTACACTTCGGCGTCGTGGTCGTGGAACTGATTAATTGTAAATGCGGAGGAATAGTAAAAAATGAAATATGGTAAGAGTAAGGTGTTAATTAGTGAAATTATGGGATTTGTCAGGATATTCTGAAAAGAGCAACATCCAAGAGGCCTACTTGCCAAAAACTAGCATTTCGGGACAAATTGTCTCTGAGATATTAGCCCAGTTATGCTCTGGTGACTCCATACAAATCCTTCTAAATTTGACTTGGGTCTAAACGTTTAGACCTAAGTCAAATATGAGGTTACTGGCGGTGAATAACAAGTCTAACAAAACAAACAGTGAAAAAAGAATTCTCTATTTTTCTTAGTCACATCAGGCTTCAAGAACAGCATAGGAGTCTCATGTACTGATTAAAGATATGTAAGGCATGGGTAAGGAGTCAATTACGTTGAGCATGAAATTGGCTGTTACGAGTTCGAATGTTTTGAGGATAATTATTCACCGACTATCAGCACCCAGGAATGTCGGATTAACACAAGGAAGTTTAATACCAAAGGAACATAGCCTTTTCAGAGCTTTAAAACATAGCATCCGCCAACACAAACTTGACTTGAACTTAAGTACAACTAAACAGCCTCTACCAATAATAACAAACTCTCACTTGAACTTCAGATATCTTACGGCTTCCGCCAACTTGTAAACACAGAACTTGAAAATCGGCCTTCGCCACACTTGACTAAACACAACAGTCCAACTCGTGGGAAAAAAACTTAGTTCGTCAAGAGACCTCGCTTGGAACTTGTATACCGTTTGACATAAGGTTCTAGAAAATACTTAACGGGCGAATAGTAGTATCTTTTCGACATATTTTATAATTTCAGTAACTGATGCAAATCTGCTGACTCATGGTGAAATGTAAACATGCCCTGATTAATTCTTCATGAATAATCCAAAAAAGTAGAGAACGTTCAAGAAAGTCACGCAACGCATGAAAGCAATTTTACTACGTAACACTCAACAAAGACAAAATGTCTTTGTGCAGCATTTTGTAACTTTAAATTCATCATAAAGCAGTTCGAAAGGAGGGCGCACTCGTGAAACGTTTTTCAACACTCTGCGCGGCCACGTAATATCCTCTATTTATTCCTCGAGCAAATTAAAGACTAAACTCGAAGTGATCTCAAGATAACACAAAGTAGTCCGGTTTCATTTCGTGAAATAGCCGAAACAAGCCGAAACGTTGCGAACTTGCACGCCCAATCTTGTCCCGAAACTATTTCATAATTTCATAACTATTTTTCATATCCCGAACTACCTTGGGTCGCAGTAGCGCAATCGGCTAATCCCTCAGGTTAGAGTCTCCTCTGACCTGACAGATCACACCGGTGAGTCGGTTCAAACCCCGGGGAAGCCAAAATAATAATTCTTTCTTCCTCGAAAAAGTTAAAGAATAAATCAAAGAAATCGAAGTGATCTCGCTCGAGATATCTCGAACTAGTTCGGCTCTCACTTCGTCAAATAACCGAATAAAATCGAAAACCTACAGACTTTGCATGCCCAATCTTGTCAAGAAATGGTACCTTTGATACATTCCTGAGCGTCGCGACTCCTTTACTTCGCGCTCCGCCGAAGTAAAAATTCTGGGAGCGATCATGGGCAGGCATCAATGAAGTTTAGCTGTCAACTCTTTAATGTTGAGAAGCCAAACTCAAGCAAGAAGAATGTGGTCTTTTGTCTATTTCAGGCAAAGGACAAGAATTAACATGCTCACGGTTACGATACCATACAAACAGCAACTTGACGAAGTGGTAGAAAGTCAGTGGCAGCAAGCAACTAAAGAGCGTGCTTTTCATTCAAGAAAATGTAGTCACACAATCAATTCCTACGAGCAATGAACAAATGATGAAAACTAAATCACGTAAACAAATTCTGCGTAAACCTGTAAGAAACTTTTGAAAAAATAACTGAAATATAGCGTTCACTTGACTAAAGAATAACGTAAAACCAGTGGGCCTTTCGAGAAACCAATCATAATTACGTTTCTATTCAGATTTTATATATTTTTTGTTTAAACCGTTATTCAAACTAGTTGCTTCTTCTTTCTGTAAAAAAAGTAGCCGACCTCTATGAGCAAAGAAGCCGACGTGTTTCGTCGGCCGTCGGTGCTTATTGAAACCCCTGGAAATGGATGGAAGGATAATTACCAAACTTGCTGAAAGTAACGCAGATCCTGATGATTTAGACTTTGACACTCATCTGCAGTGTTTAAGACAGGCACATAAACATGAGATGCTAGCTAAGGCATACTTGGAGCAAGCATCTGCGCCTCAAGAGTACCTGATGTACCTGATAGCAGCATCAAGACTGGAAATGGATGATGCTCAGGAACATCCAGTTATCATACAGCTGATGGACACAGTCAAACAATTGCAAGGACAAGCTCAACAAGGGGTGTGAACTGAATGTTTAAGTTGAAAAATAATATGCAACTTTTACTCCACATCAGTGCATGGTCAGTGTCTCATACCATTTTATGCTGCTATTTCATAACTAGGAAACTGCAGCTGCCCACATCAGAGCAACCACAAAATTTGCCCGAGAAAATGGGAAGATCCTGAAAGAGCTTGAAAAAACTCTCCAGTCAATAAACGTGAAACGGCAGGCATACCACAGCGACAGCTTTGTGGGTAATCACACTGATATTTGTCTTCACGTAAATATGCTTACTGAGGGAATAGGTAAATTATAAAATGCAAATGACTACTTTACAATAATACCGAGGAAACTTTTGAAACTGTCTTATTGCAGGAGAGGAATATTACAAAACTTTGCGATGCTGTTATTACTGTGACTAGGGACACCTGCCCTGAATTGCGTGAGATTGCTCCAGGCATAACGGAGACGTATTTTAAGTTATTTACGCTCTTTGCCAAGTGCCCTTTTTAAAATGAACTCAAGCAAGGCTACGAAAGAGCCTGAAGTAAATGCCTTACGTTAAGAATACTTGTTTAAAAAAACACACAAAAAAATATTGATACGGCAGTTAGGGAAAAAAACAATTTGTGTGATAAACTCCTGTATTATTATTTTATTTTCAGAGGATGACATCAAACAACTGATGGCATACATAAGAAGCAAGTTCAAAGACACAAGCTTCCCCCCTAAGTTGCACATGCTAGGGGAACACGTTGTAGAGTTCATTAGAAAATTGCACTTCCCACTTGGTTTTTTTGGAGAACAGGGAGGTGAATCTATCCACCATGAATCTGAACAGCTTGCTTTCACATAGTGCAAGGTTAAACCAGACACTGCTCGCCTGAAGCAAATGCTACAAGAACATTACTTGATTGTGCACCTAGCAAATAGGCAAACAATCCCTGAGAAGCAAACTAGAAATCTGAAGAGGAACCAAGAAGAACAAGAATAAGGAGAGCGACAAATATACTTCTAACTGTAAAGGTTAAGCTTATATTAAGCTCTTGTATATTTCGTGTATGATGGAAAATACTAAAGAAGCTTGAAATTCAAATACACACGTTGTGTAAGAGATCAGATTTTTCAGTGATTTTTCAATACTTATACTCACAGTTAATACGAGATTCGTTGACAAAAACATACCGTCGGTTGCATCTAAGCGTGGACCCGAGACAAAAACACGTGTTCTAATAGGGCTATCTTTAAAACAAGGAACAGGGAATCGGGCAATGGGAATGGGGAACGGGGAATCTTTAAAATGGGGAGTCTTTAAAAGCGGGAATCTTGAAAACAGGGAATCTTTAAAAGCGGGAATCTTGAAAACGGGGCATCTTTAAAATGGTGAATCTCTTTAAAATGGGGAACCTTTAAAAGCGGGAATCTTTGAAATGGGGAATCTTTAAAAGAGGGAATCTTTTAAATGAGGAATCTTTGAAATGGGGAATCTTTAAAATGCTGGCACAAGAGTTTCGCGCTGCTATGGATGGGGTGATATCCAAAATCCTCCCTTGAATGCTCCCAACGACCTTGTAATAGTCTATAAGGACATTCGTCGTTATCGGGACCAAAATACAGGGCAACTTCATTGCACAAATTCACCCCAAAATGTGCATTTTCATCTTCGGATCGCGTGCGTACGTGCCTAGTATCCTCATTTTATGGCAACTTGCTTATTGATTTGAATTTTTGATTGGCTCATAAAAAAGGCCGAAATTTGGCAGTGAGACAAAAGACAAGTGGATGTGAAACATGACGGTTTAAAAAAAAATGTTTATGGCAAGTTTTTATTGTGCGCATGTTTTTCTTCCTTTGTACTATTTTCTTTTTGCCAGTTTAGTTGAAATTAATGAGAAAAACTCTGAATCGTTACTTCACACCATGTGGCTGTACTGTTGTCATGGTCATTTTAACTTACAACGTCAAGAAAGAAAGTAATCAAGACATAGTTAACTCGAAGCAAACAGCTAACTAGAGTTAGATTGCATTTCCCTTGGGTTCAAATTTTTGTTATTTGCCTCGATCGTCCTGTAGCCCAAAATATTCACTTCGATATTCACTTTATGCCGTTATTTCAGCAACCAACGATAGTTGAGAAAGTTAAACTTCTTAGTCAGTCAGAAATAGACCTTCTCTTTAATACTATAGTTCTACCTAATATTAATTACGCATTATCTGTCTACGCCGCGTCCGAGTCCGATCTTACACCCGTACAATGTTTCTTAGACCGCTGTTTTAAAAGGAAATATACGTCTAAGCCTGTAAGTGTTTATGATTTCTTAGAGAGGCAAGACCGTAAAATTTTCAAAAAAGTTTTGAATGCCAAAGGACATCCACTTTTATCTATTATGCCTCGTGTTAAACCCTCCAGCTACAATCTTAGAAAAGAAACTAGTTTTAAACCTAAGATTAACACTATGCGCTTTAAAAACTCTTTTATTAATCGTTTAGTTTTTAAATATGAATTAGCTATGTAATATACTAGATATATATACCGGTATATATTTTTTATTTCTTACTTTTTAACTTTTTAAATTTCTTACACTTACTTGTAACAAAAGATATGTATTTTTATCTCTTGATGAATAAAGACTTTATTTATTTATTTATTTATTTATTTATATTTGTAATAAGGACAAAAGTCCAATTTTTTGTGCGGTTAATATGACCGATGATGAAAAATGTAAGCATTATACTGGTTTCCCCAAATATGCCGTGTTTATTGTACTGGTTGATTTGTTAGAAACTGGTATGAATGGTGAGAATGTCAAACTTGTGTCAGTTCCCAATGCTTACACAGGCCGTGTACGTAGACAATGGCTCAGTGGCAAAGAGCAGTGATGAGGTTACAGAGAGTCTTCTCCATTTAACGTCTGGAGTGGCTGTTTAGAATTGACAAAAGTACAGTCAGCCTAATATTTGTCAGTTGGGTGAACTTCATTTACCTTTGTCTGTCAGCAATAATAAATTTCAATATAGACTGCACTGAGTTCTACTGTGAAGCTCCCACATCGCTAGAACTAAAGGGAAACGTGTATTCAGACTATAAGGGTAGGGACACCTATAAGGCCCTTGTAGGAATTGCTTCTCACTAGAAGTGTTTCTTTTGTTTCCCACCTTTATTATGAGAATTTATCTGGCCGAGAAAAAAAAAGTGGTCTTCTCAACCCAAACATGTTTGATGATGGTGATGAAATAATGGCAGATAAAGGACTTAACATAATAGGTCTTACTGACAAAATTGGGGTGAGGCTCAACTTGCCAATTTTTCTTGGATCCAGGGGTCAATTTGAAGCTAATGAAACTGTTATTAACCAGAAAATAGCTTCCAACAGAATAAACATGGAACATTTTATATATAAGGTTAACACGTTTTGACTTTTAGACAGAACAGTTCCACTGTCTCTGCATGGATCTGTTAATCAGTTGTGGACAGTTGCAGCTCTATTGACATCGCTTCACTATCCAACCATATCTGCATGAATCACTAGTGACCTGAGCACCAAACTGTGGTGGAATTTAAGAGGAGGAGTCAGACTTATTTTTTAGACAAACAAGATTGATCAGACGTTTAAAAAGTGCACCCCTTTTATTTTTCTACAGTCAGTAACCAATATGTGATTTTTGCTAACAATATCCATGTGTTTTAATGTAATTATAATAAGAAAAATATATGCCCGGTTACAGTTATAACAGTGAAAGTTATAACTCATGGGATAGTATCATTCTTAAACTGTGTTTCCAGCTTAAGTTCTTTCAGATGTTCTGCTCTGGCACAGAACAAATTGCATGCAATTCCTGTGGATTCTGGCCTTGTTTTTTTTAACTGTGGTGTTCATAACTGAAGATTTAGAGACATTCTGTTGCCGCCTTTGTGGTACTGTCCAACAACATGGTTTTATAGTACAGGATAGAAGTTCAGGCCAGGGATGCACTTCGATACTTCCACAGAAAATTTGGCATTGACCTTCATTAGTGCATAAACATGATTACTTCAAACACCTTTGCCAGCTCTACATGTACAGTAAGCATCTTTAACAGCTGAAGATAACTTTTTCTTATAGCAAAGCATAGTTTGTAATTTTCCTTTCTGTAGCAAAGCATAGTTTGTAATTTTCCTTTCTGTAGCTAGCTCTACAAATGGCTCCAACATAAAAAAAAATTACCTTCATTCAAACAGCTAATGCTGAACTGGAAATTATCATTTAACAGCTGTTCAGTTCTCTTATTCAACTTAGCGATTTTTCTAAGAGTGAACAAAGGCAATCCATCCAAACTTCTAGTCCAAGGACTCCCCGAGTCTAAGGAGGAGGTTCAGTAATTTCCTGTAAACAAAATGAGTCCCGTTAGACATTAAATACATTGGAAGAATATGATGGATTACAGAACGCTCACGCAGATTTGTTATGTAATTTTTCACCATAAATTAAGCCACACTTTAAGCATTTAATCAATCAACAACAGTAGAACAGTTTGTCGGCAAGTTTACAACTTACCTCGTCTAAAATCCTCTTCACTGTTATCACAAGAAACACCTTGATCAAAACTCCCTTGAGCATGCTGATTTGTAGTTCCAGTTTCAGTCCCATCCCATTGCTTTTGTAAAAGACTGTCATGAGGGTTTAATACAGCAGATGTTCTTCCATTCTTAAAGTAGTATTCTTGGATTCTAAAGATAATTTGTGAAAAAGAAAGCAAAGTAAGCTTAAGGAGGAGCCCTAAGGTTATGTTTGAAAACTGATTATTCAGGTTATTTGACAAACTTGCAAGACTTACCTTTGAATACATGCCACTTTCGTTGGCAGTCTTTTAAGGTTATCTCCTCTACATTTCAGCCAAAAGTAAAGCTCATCAATTCTATATGAAGCCAAGCTTGCAAGATTTAGGTTTATACCAGTAAGTCAGTATGTCCAGACCTTCCAGTTGTGTCAGCCATGACAGTACAGCGTGGTCAAAGATACATCTTAGGCCTCGCTTTCGTGCAATGGGAAACCGGAAGTCGGAATTATGCGAAGCGTCTATCATTATATTTTTTACATGTCATAGATGATATTTGAAATAATATTTATGTTGTCATTGTTTCAAATTTGTAATTCACTTTCTTTCATGTTGTCATGGTTTTAAAATTCTCCGGGGAAAAAATCCTTCATAAAATGGGTCTTCTTGAATTCAAGAAAATGTGCTAAAAGTGAATAGCTGGAATATTTGGCTTCAAATGTTTAAAAAAGCAGACGTTAGTCCAACTTAAAGGGGCTATGTCAGCTGGAGAGCATGTGCTCTGAGGTTATGCAAATTACTTTCAACTGTCAAAATTCTATTGTTTTTAACGCATGACTTTCTCCATGTGCGCTCTGAGGTTATACAAATTACTTTCAACTGTCAAAATTCTATTGTTTTTAACACGTGACTTTCTCCTTGTTCTCTGTCACGTCAAGGCTCCGAATTTAGAGAGGTTAACAAACGAAATGGGTTTAGATAAGGGATATTTCGATAGAATTTACGGAACGTTTCTTCTCTGGTTATGCTAGATCAAGAATAAAATTGTGACGACAATTTTACTTGTAGTTTTGGTGTAAAAACGCATGCCATTCATAAAATAGTGCGCAAACAAAAATTCAACAACAACATATTGTCTTATTCAACAAAATAAATCGAAGTTGTATTTTACAAACAAGCTACAAAAGACGCTACACCGAAGATAAAGACCAAGACTGTTTCAAATCATTAACAATTAGACTTATCTGTCGCTAGTGATTTTATAATTTAGATGCTGATAGAACAAGAGACATCAAGTCTTTGTTTTGATCTTAGGGAAACATACATTATCGCGCAAAATTGTTCGATCGTGCCGAATCACTGCGACGTCGAGAAAAACAGAACCAAGCATCATTGGTATACTACTCCACTATAAGCAGTCCGTTGATAAAAAGGAAAAGTAAACTCTGCTATTTTCCAAAAATATGCTCGAACACAAACAGTTAAAAAACATGGCATTTACAGGATCTAACTCGTACTAAGGTGCCTCTCTAAGTCCGTTGAGAACAATCTGGACGAGCAAACGGTCGTGTTTATCTTTGCTGTGAATCCATATAAATACAAGAAGGAATCTAGCCGAATTTTATAATGTTTCCTTCGCCAGGAGTTTCGTTTGGTCACGAAACTCATTGCCTGATGCTCTTGTAATCGTTTACCAAAAACAGCCGCCGCCAACTCGATAGCCGCTTCATTATATGTCCACATATTTTGAGCACAAGAAAAATCCAAGAGCCAGCAACCTCTAAAATAACTCAATACAAAGGTTCTGTGAACTATAGGGAAGATTCCATCAAAGATTCCATCACTCATCGTGGAGTAGCCGTCATTAACTCTGCCATTACAACGGCCGCTGATAAGAGGACACAGCAAATCCACGTAAAAACATTCCACAGGCAAACAATTTCAAAATAACGCCAAAAAATTATTCTGTAATCACCATAGAACGATTCTTAATACAAAACTTCGCTAACTATGGCTAGCGATGGCTGAGATTTAGACAGATAAAAACAGCCTTCCAAAATCTCCGACAGAACTTGAAAAAGACGGGCCAACTTTTTCAAGTTTGTTTTCATTGGCTCGCGCATGCGTGTGGGGTGACATAACCCCTTTAACAAACAGTGTCCTTTAGTTCTAAATATTTAAAGATTCCCCGTTTTAAAGATTCCGGCTTTTAAAGATTCCCCGTTTTAAAGATTCCCGCTTTTAAAGATACCCCATTTTAAAGATTCCCACTTTTAAAGATTCCCTGTTTTAAAGATTCCCCGTTCCCTGATTCCCCATTCCTTATTTTACAGATTGCCTTCTAATAGGGTGCCAAACATGACATGTTCTGCCGCCAAACATTATTTTGAAGTTTGATAGCTGTCAAAGCAAACTGTCGCACCAAAGTTTAAAGTTGTTTACTGTGTAGCATGAAAATTTTGCAGGAGTTTTATTTTGCGGATTGGCGATTTTTTGTGGTTTGCGGGAACAAATTTTTGCGGTTCGAGATGAGTGAAATTTCTGGTGGGAACTAATTTTTGTGATTCTCTGTTCAAGTAGCAGAATATTTAAGTGGAAGAAACCTTAAATGGTATTTTCAACTTTTATTTTACGGTATGTTGAGTCAAAGTTCACGCTACTTACATATTTAATGGAGAATAATACGGTAATCACTGTAATATCTTACTGCACAAAGGGACTCAACAACAGCAACACAAAACAAAAGCCTATCCCTACCATACACAACAAGTCCATTAAAAGCAGAGCTTTTAATGTGACTGAAGCGAGTTAATTTTTGCGGACTTGCTTTCAAGAATTATTCTTTGGAGTTTTACAACTCCAGAAATTCTTCTTAACGTCTTGCGACGAATATTTTGTTGATCGAAAACAAATCAAGTCGACAAACAACTGCCTACTTTGCCTAACGCCACCCCAAACTTCAACAGCTTGGCGGCAAAACATGCCATGTTTTCACCCAATTAGAACATGTTTTTTCCTTACGTCTACATGCTTAGATGCAACCGATGGAAATTCCATGTACGTTTTTGACTGAATAAAGATATTTTATTACCTCCTTTGCTTAATACGCTAAATAATTTCGGCAACATTTGAATAAAAACAACTAAGCTCAGCTGTCTCCGGTGATTTGGGAAGAAATTTAAAAATGGCGTCCCAACATGGGTAAAAACCCCAAACTTTAGCGTTTCATCACGCGAAGAAACGAATTACTAATAAAACACTCACCGCGCAGTGGACTTCTTGAAGGATCGATCTTCAAAATTTTGATTGCCATTTGTTGTATAAAACTCTAAGCAATTCACAATCTTCTCAGGCGACATAAAAACTGCTGGAAGGACGATGAAATTGCGTGTATCGTTTTCTAGGCTCAAAATTCGAGGATTTACTCCATTTTCCTCCGTTTTTTGGGCTGCGCAACTTCCTCAACCCTTTCCGCCATGTTTTTCACTCTCGAGGGCTTCAGGGGCGCTTTCGTTCTTCATTGGTTCTAAAACAAAAGCTTTTCTTTCCCCTCACGCGTAAACAATGGCGTGGCCGTTCGTTGCTATGGGAGATCACCCGATTGGGGGATTCCGCTGTAACGGTAGACCGCGGGCGGATTAGAACAAAGTATTTTCGTTTCGCTTTCAAAATAACATTCCGGCGGGAAAGACGGTTGGCTTTTGTAAAAATGTCTGTTATTGATCAGGAGGAAGCTCGCCAGGAGTTTGATATCGTCTTAAAGGTTCTGGGAGAACGACAAAGAACTGAAGAAGCTCATGCACATAGCGAACATTACGAGCACCTCACACGTTCTTTGTTAGACATGCTTACGAAGGAATATGGCGATCGTTTAACGTTTCGGATATACGGAAGCACGGCTGAAGACTTAAAGTGTCTCGAACCAAATAATTTGGGAGATGTGGATATCATGCTATTTCCGAACGTTATTTTGATCCACGACGAACTTATTGAGTATTCACGCCATAATCCATTGTACGTTAGAATCAAAGGAAGTAATGACTTTGTGTTGAAGAACTGCCTTGAGAAAGACACCGAGTATGTGTCTACTTCAGCCATAAGAAGTTTTGATCCTGCAATTTACGGGCATTTTGCTTATGATATAGGACAGGTCATGCCAGTAGAAGAATTTGCAAATGGTCCGGGTGCTTTTCTGAAATGTTCCTGTTATTTGGAGGAACACAGAAACACACCAGCGATACCCGTAAATGTTTATTTCGCGCGATTATGGAAAACTAAACTTCCGAGACATCTTGAAACTACAATAGGCGCGCCAAGCGGAAATATTGGGAATCTGACTGATATAAAACGCGTCGACGTAAACGAGAAAGAAGAAGCATCTCCAACAGATGATGTACGACGGCACTCTTTGCCACCAACAGATGACTCCAGCTCTCATGATCTAATGCTCGATCAAAATCAGGATAAAAAGGATTCATCTGTTGGCTTTTATGCTCGCTTGATGGAGCATCTTTTTCCTTCAGTATCAAAAGCAAGAGAAACTCAATTTGACGACGAAACAAGCTTCGAAGGCAACGAAGAACTGCCATCGATTCACCAGCAAGTACTCAGTCCTGTTGATTTTGTCCCTGCCTTCAAGTGCCAGGGATGGCCGAAGGTTGCAGAGGAGTGGCCACAAAGAAAACGCAAATGGCCTTCACCAAAGACTGTTGACAAAGTAATCCAGGAAGGGTTCCACTTGGTGGTAAAGGCCCCGCCAAACGGGGGTGATCACACTTTGGACTTCAGACTCTCCTTTTCTCATGCAGAATATTTGTTAAGCCAAGAGATGAATGATGTCCAGCGAGAGTGTTACCGTTGCCTCAAAAAGATTTACAGAAGCCATCTCATGACTGTGTCACGAAAGAATTTGGTGACGTTTCATCTGAAGACCATCCTTCTACACGCAATTGAAGAAACTGGCCCTGAGATGTGGACTGACAGCAATAGAGCTGAGTGCATGATGCATCTCCTTGGCAACCTTTTGGAAGCCTTGAGAACAAAGTATTTGCGACATTACTTTGTCAGATCATACAATCTGTTTTGCAGTGACTACTTCGAAAGCAATGAAATTCTCGAGTCTTTAGAAGCAGTAGTATCCCAAATCATGAAAGACCCACTGTATTTTACCAAAAAGTTGATCCAAGATGTTAATAGGACAAAGCAAGATGCCAAGAAAAAATCTACTCCTACCAGTGAACCTGCTTTCTTTGAAGACCCTACTATTGAAAGCAAACATGGTGAAGAAAAAAAAGCTTTCTTCACCTCAGAGGAAAAGGATAGATCTGTGTTTGATCCTGTATTGGTCACAAAATTCTTGGGTCATCACTGTGATCATGCAGTAACAAAATGTCACTTCCATAATCTTAAGAATCACTTCATTGCTACTTTCATTGAGGTGTTCGATAAGGCATTTTTTGACCCTGATTACCCGCTCGAACTGCTCAATTCGGTAGAAAGGTCTACAGTGGAAGATCTAAGAAACCTGGGGGGGACCTTAGTGGTGACTAGAAGAGATCATGAACAATTTGCAGCTGCCATCGAAACATACTGGAATGTGTTTGGTCATATAAATGTGTTGACTGGCATGACTTCAAAACACCATGTGCTTATGTCATTAAAAAGAGTAACCAGACTCCTCAGCTACTTTTTAAAGGATAAAAACTGTGCCAGAGACTCAGAAGCTATTAACAGAAAGGTGATGGAAGATTGTTTTGACCTCAACCTCTTGGTTCCAGCTGGTTTTGGATATGTATTGCTACAAAAGCTTCTTAAATTTTTAGAGAAAGAAGACAATAGAAAAATATTGAGCACAATAATTTTAGAATTTCTCCCCGAATTTTCAGAAGTTTTTACGAACACGTACTTTCAGGAGAATCTGCCCAGTTTGGCAATGTTGCAAGGTCAACCACAAATTTTGAGCTTGAACGATATTCCACTGGACTGAAGAAAAGGTCATTCTGTGCACAGACAGACCCTTCCACGTTTTTTTCAACTTTTGACATGTACAAGTTATTAAGGAAAATCCGTCGACACCACTGGAAAGAGTGCCTTAAAATTAGTAAAAATGCCAAATTTGAAAGAGATACGTCTTAAGCGAGCGAGCAAAGTTATAGCTACACAAAGCTGCGAAAATTTACAGACATTTGTGTGGTGGGGGCCGACATAGTCTGCTACACAGCAGTTTTTAGAGTCGTCACGCAACGCTCCTCCTTGCGTGACGACACTAAAAATGGCTGTGTAACAGACTAGGGCAGACATAGCTCCTCAAAGTCGCGAAATTTTAGAGTCTTCATTTTGTGTTAGCAGTTATGGTAGAACGAGATAAAAGTAGTTGGCTAAGGATGGCTAACTAGCTGGCGGTTTTGGCCGGCTACCAGCCGTAATTGACAGCCCTGCAGTTGTTAGCCTGCGTGGCAGGCGTTCGAAAGGGAAGGGGAAGGACGAGGCCGCACGTGAGGGAGGAGGGGAACGCCTGCAAGCAAGCCATTGTTTTTGCCACCCAGCCCACTAATAAACAAAATAACAAAAATAACGCAAAATGGATACTAGATAAAAATATTATATATAGAGGATATTACACGGTGGCGAGAAGATATGAATTTTATGTTCGAGTGGCAAGAACAATATCTCACGCGTGAGCGAAGCGAACGAGTGAGATATTGTTCTTGCCACGAGAACATAAAATTCATATCTTCGAGCCAACGTGTAATGTTCTTTTTATTATATGGAGAAACCAATTCAACAAAAGCAAAAGGCGGGAATCGTGACGTCATTGAACGATACAACACTCACAAAGGTGACATACGGAAAATACGCCACTCGGGTCCCGGATGAAGTGGCGTATGGAATCTACGAGTGGTTTAGTTCCCAGTAAAACACTCTCCTCCATATAATAAATATAAATATGCATGCAAAAAGTCTATGTTAAAATATTATAGGTTATAAGCTAACAGCTAATTTAAAATAATGAGTTTTTAACCATGCCATAAACGTTTTGAGACTGCCCAAAGCTCTCAACTCGTCTGGAAGGGCGTTCCACAGGGTCGGCACGGCTGCAAAGAAAGCCCTGTCTCCTGTTGTCTTCTTGGTCTTGTTGGGCAGGTCGAGCAGTAAGTGTTGTATTTGATCACAGGTTATAATTTGACTGTGGCTTAAGTCTGATTAATTGATGAATAAATGTGGGAGCACTACCATGCAGAGCTTTGAATGTGTATACAACCAATTTAAACATACGGTATTTAACTGGTAGCCAATGCAAGTCTTTCATAACAGGACAAATGTGATCTCAGTTGTTACGTAACAGGTATAAAAGGCTGGTTTACACTCTACCGGTCAGCATGATTTTGTAAAGCAAACTTGAAGCCGTAGCGAATCACAAAAAATCCAGCCTGATTTTTCATTCTGGCCTTCCCTTATAAGACACAGAGATAAAACCAAAAAATTGTAACGTGTACATTGGCCACCACCGAACACCGGCTACATTTCGTGGCTGCCCAATTAGTGTGATAAAATAAAGGTGGTGTAGGTGGGCGGTTGGGTTATTTTGTTTGGGAAGAATTTGTTTTCCAAGCCTTCTACTGTGATCAAAGATAATTGGGATTTTGTGGAAATACATATAAGATTATTAACTCGATGTAAGATTTGTTTCAATCTTGGACTGTTTGCAAATTAATTTCTCCCTAAAATCGCCGCGGCCCTCCCTCAAAAGTCATATGAATCCAGCGGTTACAAGTTTATTATCTGACACAGGTAAATTATAAATTTACAAACAGGAGCTTCCCTTTAAGCCCTGGCCAAATCAATATATTATAAGGGCCTGCCAATAAATAAATAATAAAATGGAGCTTCGAGTGTACCTTTACGCAGCTATAATAACCCGAAAAATGGAGCACTGATGAAGAGAGGGGAGGGAGGATGAGCACACCTTCGACCTCAGCTTTGTTAGTCAAATGACTATTTCGAGCCACCGATGTAAAATTGTAAAAACTCTTTTACCTTTCTATACCTTTTAACTTCATCGCTGTTATGACGAATTGCACTGTGGGACCACTGAAGTTATCCTTTCGTCTGTTGATCATCTCGACGGAAAACTGGATCTCAACACGTGAACCCGTCCACCAAAACATCCTCACAGTGCGTTGTTGTTGTGCTTGTTTGTTTGTTTTTTGAATGTACATTAACAGTATTTGCTCTTAGAAAACTAGGTGCAATGAATTCTGTGTTTTTTTTAGAGCTGAGTTTTCATCATCGTGTTAAAGCAATACAATAAATTAAAAGGAAGTACTTATGCGGAAGAAAAGCACGAAAAAGTGACAACAATTACACTTTGAGGGAAAGTTAAATGACTAAGCACGCGAAAATAAAGTAATAACATTAGGAATTCCAGAATCCAATTGATACTTTTTCTTATCACACGCAGAGTTCCATCTATATTTATGCATCACCTAACCAGTCTTTCGGGCAAACTTAAAATGCTCAAAATGATTCGGGTCTTAGGTGCCTTGTTTAAAAACTCATTAGGCCAAAGTCACAACCGAGGGTGGGGGTTAGAGATTGTTGGGGGGGATTGTTTTGACCGGTAGCTTTGAATTTTTTTGAAGAATTATTGATCATTTGAGAGGCTATTTCAAACACGACATAGGGTTTGATCCGATATCCAGACAACTCAAAGTCAGCGGCGAAAAAAAGCCGCCGGCGCCTTGTTTTTCGACTCACTTCGAGGTGTTTGGAAATCGGGCGAAATACTCCCTCTCGTGTTTGATATATTACATGATCGCTTACATGATGGGGTACTAGTTCATCATATCCTCTGGAGCTCCCAGTGGCACAACATGCCATGGAAACCAACGCTGAACTGGCGATACCATCATACACTGATCGAACCTAAAACAAAAATGGTTTTACAGTTAGATTCCTGCTAGAAGAGGGAGTGAAAAATACATGTCTAATGTAGTTAGAAACTGAAGGAGCTGTGCGACAACTAGAAGTTCAACACAGTTTTGGTAGCTTACGCCATCCACTCCATATGAAAGGATGGCCGTCTCTCACTCGTAAAGAAGTGCGGCAAAAGAGAGGCAAACAAAACAAGTGTATTTCCTAATCGATAAGCGATTGATTTGAATTGGGCGAACACCAGTGAAGAGATACAGAGGAGGGTAAAGGGGAGAGAAAAAAAAAAGAAGTATGAGGAAGTATTTAGGAGGCAGCATGTCCGAGCGGTTGGAGCGCTGGACTTGCAATTCGGAGGTCCAAAGTTCAAGTCCCGCCCTGACCGCCAGCTGGATTTGTTCTCGGTAGTCCCAAGTTCAAATCCTCGGCCATGCTTGTAAATAACCAACTGGTTTGCCTCCTGCCAGTTGGGATTCTTAACCCTGTTAAGTTCAATTTGAATTCTTTGTTTCAGACATTTTCTTGGCCCACCCAGTTAGCATTAGTGCTGTAAATACTGCCCAGGGTAAATAACGGAATTATTATTAGGAGCAAAACGCTAAATAGCATTGATATTATTTTGACCTCACTAACCAATGAAACATTGGATTAATCTATCCCGTCACAAATTGAGAACAAAAAGACAAAGGATTGTGTGCCGTCAGGAAGCTTTCAACATGAACCACGGCACCGTTGTTTTAATCTTTGATGTTTTCCGCATTTGATAATCAGTCTCCTCTACTAACTATGGTTTAATGAAGCTATAATGAGACCTCTGTATCTTCTCTCGAAGATGATAATTATTTCATGGTCTATGTGCCATATAAAGTCGATTGGACAAGACCGCTGTAAATGGTGCAAGGATCAGAAATGTCAAATGCACCCTGATTACTGACACATAATGGAAACTTACCTTAAATGGACTAGGGTTGTCATGAGTAACATCCATAAACAGAGCGTGGGCGATGCTTGGAACAAGAGGCTTTACGTCTGAGGGATGCATGAACGCACCAACGGGTTCACCACCATAGCGATAAATCAAACGTCCTTCTTCATGTGGATCATGTGCATTCAAAGCCTCTGTCAACGAAATGGGTCAATAAATAGTCAATTGCTGTGTCTATTTGGAATTCTATTCCACTTTCTGTTAAGACTCTCAACATATCTAATTTTCGTAAAAAAATTAAATCACTACTCCTTAATGTTCTAGATAATGAAGATAATTATCTTAAGGTTAATTATTTAATAGAATATTTTATGAAGTTAACCTGATATGTTGTATATACCTCCAGTTGTAATTTTCGTCTTTTTCAAATAGCAAAATCCCCTGTACTTGAATTTATATGTAAGGTGTTTCTTTCTGTATGTTATTGTATTTCTTTTCTTTTCTTTGCTCTTATGTAGTTTAATAACGTCTTTATTTAAAGTCTTGCCCTGCCTAGATTAGCAGTATTATACTACTACATGAGAAATTTCTGCAATTTGATTGGCTTAGAGAAGTGGTATTTCAGCTTAATTTGAAATACCTACATGTGAAAATTACAAAACGTTTGTGGGTAGTAGTATAGGTGGTTTTCATGCAATCTGGAGAGACACAAATAACAATGGTGAAATGAACAAATGCTGGTGGACAAACAAAGTGAGCTGATGAGCGATCTTTTGTTCACTGTCCACCAGCATGGCAGCGATGACGTAAAGTGAAAACCACCTATATAGAGGATATTACACGGTGGAGCGAAGATATGAATTTTATTTTCAAGTGGCAAAACAATATTTTACGAACGAGCGCAGCGAGTAAGTAAAATATTGTTTTTGCCACGAGAAAATAAAATTCACATTTTCAAGCCACAATGTTATTATTATATAGACCAAAAGAATGGATAAAATAATAGAGGGAAATTACTGAAATCACGTCATCGATAAACTCACGTGTGAGATTATGGAAAGTAAACCACTTGAGTGCCGGATTAAGTTTTTATGAATTTTACGAGTGGTATATTTTTCAGTAAAACACTCGTGTCTATAAAATAAATAAAAATACACCCGCACCTACTTCGGCTATGTTCACACTACACAAGATAGCTTTTGGTGCCACGAAAGGCTATCCGGAAATCTGGAATAGCGTGAATGCTGCCTTACTCTCACCAAGCCCCTTGAAGCCTGTGCTGAGGAGGGACCGCCGGGCACTTTTCGCAAAGAGCAATGGGGTTTTCGTAGCAAAGTATTTTTCTACGCCAATCCATGTCACAGATAGTACACCTATTTATAGACGTAAAAACTTATTGGCTGCGCTAAAGACTTGGTCAGAGTTGTGTCCAGACTACGAGTAGTCCTCATTATTGCTCAGGGATAGTAGAGGAAGCGAAACGCGAGCGCACCTGAAAATTAACCCTTCGCGAGAAAGTCGAGACGCGGCACGCACTACTCGTAGTCTAAGTTGTGACGAGCTACAAAATGGGACTGTTCTGGAGACAAACTTTGACCCAGTTTCCCGCGTAAGCTGTTAAGAAGCAGCAGGCTGTTTACAGTCCCCTATTTTTCGTAAGATCAACGAGATCGAGCGCTTAGTGTGACAGGTGGCTACCTTACTTTCAAATTTACGCGTTTAAACCCCGACGCCTAACCCCTCCGTACATCTGAAACCAAGATGGCCTGCCGTTTACCCTGAGTATCACAGGTTTTTTCTCGCGTGCGGCGGGATGCTTCGGTTTCGGCCGCAGTCGCGCGGGTCACTATTAACCCATTCGCTCCTGGAGATTTTGCCGAAAAACGCGTTTTGAAGCTAGTCGAGTGGTTTTCTGGTCACTGTCGTGCTATAAAGAGCTAAAACTTACCACAAACCGGTTTACAGGTCGTACACTTGGCGGCCTTCTGATCCAGATGCAAAATATCAGCTTGCGAAGTTCGGGCATGCGCAGAAAGCAAAATTTCAACAGTTTTTGGGTTTAAAAGTGACACAGCAGTCTTGACTTTTACTTTTCGCTTTCTCTCCTCCCTTCTTTTTTCGCTTTTCTTGCCTCATTTTTTTTTCTCTTGCTGGGCATTTAGTAGGCTTGATTTTGGTGGGAAGAGTTTTTAGGAAAGCTTTTAGGATCTTAGGATTAGGTGAAAGGAAAGGTAGGTGGGTAATGGAACAAGATTTTCATGGAGATTTTCAGGTCCTTGTCACGTGGTTTTTTGCTTCTTTCTCCGGTGTCCTTGACTGAATTGTGCTCATTCTGGTATGGTTTGAAAGATCTCTTCACTCTGCACAAGTTAGCGAAGAAAGTTGTCCTTGACCGTTAAAACTTATGACGTCACAAAGGGTAGAAAGGACCTGGATCCGCACGGGCGGTTACGGGCGGTTCAGGGGCGAATGGGTTAAGACTTGACCGAAATCGAAAACCGCCCATGAAAGGACTCGGGAACCCAGGGTAACTCCTGTTACAATAAACTATTGATCTTGACGATCTTACGGAAAAACGGGAACTCTGAACAAATTTAAAAAGCCTAGCTTCCCCAAAACAGTCTTATAGTGAAATTCGGCTCAACAACCTCCCTGTTTAACCGCAACATCCAATCGCAATCTCATACCTCTTATAAGCGACGTAATGCCTAATCGATTGACAAATATGTTGTCTGTGTTTTCAGAGCCAGTGAAAAGTTCCGCCGTAACATACAGGTCTGGTTTAACTTTTCTGGCGGCATCCACAAAGTACTGCAATAAATGATGAAAAGAATCAGAACTGATCTCGTGATGACAGTTTATGGAATCCTGGTCAAAATAATGTTCGTTGATTGCTCAATCATATGTACATCCTTATGCTAAGATAGTTTATTATTGTACGGGAAAAACGTGCATTGCAGAACCTCGCGTAGCACGTAAGATCGGGAAGGTGGACCGCAAAATGTTAGGGATGAGCAGGGTGATACTGACTGGGGAGGACGGGTTTCAACAAGGGAAGATGGAAGCTTTAAACAAGGTTGTCAACGTTGATTACTCGCAAACAATGTGCCTTGCATCTTATAAAACTGAGTTGACACAATCAAGGAAATTTTTAAAACACAAACTCTGACTCTTTTCCACTGCACCTTAGCTGCTTGACTACGTACTACAGGTGCGGTGTTACGGGTAGCAACTTTTCATGCAAAATTGTTGGAAATTAATGTTGCTTGTTTTAGAGCGGGCAAATGTTTTCGCACAAGAATATTTCTTTGCTTAAAGTTGCAATGTTGTTGCGCCAAGGCTCTTCTGCTTTCAACAAGATTGTTGCCCAACAAGATCAGCAAGCGGATTGCAAAACGAGCGACATCGTCATGCAACTCGTAAAAGTTGCATGAGTTTGCTCTTCGTATTATTGCGTCCTAAGACCTCTACTGACCTCTGCAACATGAAGCGGCGTGCTGTGACAGTTGTCCAACCGAATGCCATCAAACAATCTGAAATTAATACAGTATTTAGCATACAGACTAAATCTCTGAAATAAAATCTGTAAGCTAGTCCTGCTCCCACTTTCTTTTCCATTTCTATTCTTATTCAAATTTCCACTTTCACAGATTTTCCCACTTCTGATTTTTCTTTCCATTCTCAATTCCATTCTTCTAATTTTATCCCATTTCCCATTTCCTTTCCACTCCCATTCTTATTCTCACTGCCATTTTCACTCCTATCAGCAATGATAAAACAACACACCTTACTCATGCAGACGGCTATATAACCTTAATAGATCTCATTTTTCATCTTGTTATTAGGGTCTTTATTCTCAATATCATTTATCCTTGTGAAAATTTCATTTTCACATTTGTTTCACCGAGCTTAAAATTTACCATCTTTCATTCTTTGATCGTTTATACTTTTTTCGGCTTCCCTTTCCCTTCCCTTACAAAATTTGTTCCCACTATAGTTTCCTGTGCACATCATAGACAACAACACTCAATGCACAAAAAACTATAATTTTGGCTGACGAATCAAATCATAAACGAAAAGTACCTTAACTGAAATTGCCCACCGGTTATAGACCGTTCACAGTCCACTATTTTTCCGTAAGAACGTCAAGATAAAGCGCTTACCGTCACGGGCGGTCATCTTGGTTTTAATTAATGTAATGTCATCAGATGGCGTGCACCGGATTTTATACATGTAGCTATAACGGGGGTTACCGGGGAGGAAGGCCCCCTCCCAAACCGTCCCCTGCCTCTTAACAAGATTTGAAAGTCATCTACAGGCCACACTCGATACACTTGAAACCAAAATGGCCGTCCGTAAAGCGGTAAAGGTAGGTGCTCGATGCCCACGATCTTACGGAAAAATAAGGACTGTGGTTAGTAATACTCTCATCTCCTGCACGCGCTAATCTACTTGTAGAGCAACATTCATCTCACCTTGCACAAATCTGTGTATATTGAAGCATGTGGTTCCAAAGGAAAGGCGCATCTTCAGGTTTTTGTCCATACCGCAGTTTAACACTATCGCCCCAGGCAATAAGTTCACGTCGAAGATACACCAGTGAGCCTGGCGCTGCAAAGTCGTTCAGTGGATCTCCTCCCCATATCCAGCCTTGGGCAGCCATACAAAGTTTGGCCTTGTCAGAGAACATGAGTTGCTCCTCCTCTTCAATGGTATCACAATCACCAGATGTTATAAAGTAGCTGGAGGTTTAAGACAATAGAGACCCCTAGATTCTAAGAGGAGTAGACAGACGAGTACGACTACGAGTACGAGATTTCCTCAATACTAAGTAGTGAACCAGCGTCATTTTGGCGGGAAAACGTGATAGTTGTCGGCATTTTACTACGAATTTTAGCGAGAATGTCGAGTTAGCGGACACAAGTTATAAAGTGTTATGGGTTTTATTATTTTGCGGCTGGAAAATAGCTTAACCTCTTTCAATAAAGATAACAGTGCTAATTTGTTTGGGTAAAAAAAGATGTACAATTAAGCTATCCGGATTGTTAAATCTCGTAATCGTAGTCTTTCTCGTCCTAGAATCTAAAGATATCTAATGAGAATATGAAAACAAATTGCGTTATTGAAGGGGTTACTAGAAAACGCTAACTCCAAGGTTAAATCTTTGTTAACCAATTCACTTCCATTTCTTATGTTCCAGGTTTTTACAGCTTTCCGTGTTGCCTTGGTGAAGAGAGAGACCGCAGGTTATTATTTCGTTACGTTTGCTTATTTTCGGGATTTAAAAAACGCCGCAAAATTTAATGCTCATGAGCAGTAAAAAAATTATGACGACGGTAGCGAAAACGACTCTTAAAAAGCGAATTCACGCTATTTCATAAATTCACTATTCCATGAAATGCTAGGTGAGCTTTCGCATGAAAACATCATGTTTTGTTTTTTTGACACGTGAAAGGATCACCATTGCTATGTTATTGCAGATAACCTGTTAAGATTTGTTGGTATCCCATTCGTAGATTTTAACGCCAAAACGTGAAAAAGCCTTTCTTGGAACAATAGCCATTTGCACGATGACATCATTTTACTACTACGACCAGAATCCTTTAGGGTTTTGCTTTCTTGCGCTAATTAGGGCTTTTGTTATTCAAACCTCACTGGGATAACAAAATTTAAATGTGAAAGGAAAAACGAAAAAGATTCTGGTCGTAGTAGTAAAATGACGCCATCGTGCAAATGGCCTATTGGAAGAATGACATGTCATTGTTTCCTGCGACCAATCAGGAGAGACCTTCCGAGCAGCTCCTACACTACTCCTTTTCTTTAGAGAATAAGCACGGATTGTTTCGTATAAAAATTCTCAAACGTTAAAGAACTGACGACTAATGCCCAGTCCTCACGGAGATTTTTGAAACCACATCAAATGTTTTAAAAGGAAACAGCAAAAATGCAACAGGTTAGATTAGCAAAATAACAACTTTGCACATGCATCACGTTTTTTTGTACATTTGTTAGCCATCATTGCACGGCTACAACGTGAGAGTGCCTAATTTCGCGTTTTTTTGAGGACGGGAACACAAGATTTCCTTTCATGAACTTTGATGAAATCCTTCAGAATTCAACTCCAAAAAAATTTCCCACATATCACAAATTAAACGAGATGGAAAAAGCGCGATAAAGTTTGAGGTAGCACGAATTCTTGTTTAAGTGACGTCTTCTGAGCCGCCGGTAGTATAGGAGGGTCCGGTTGGGCCGTTTTTTTTTGTTTTTTTTTTACTCCTCCACCACCACCATCACATTTAAATTGTTTCCCTCCTCTTCCTTCTCATTTTATAGAACTTGCATGATTACGTTACGGCTCAGTGATTTGAAGACACAGGCAAGTTTGAGTTTACTTCTTAGACACCATGAATTAACCAATGAGAACGTTTCGTATTTTCTAATTAACCAATCGAAAGCAATGACATTTATCGACCATACAGTAACTAGAAAACTTGTCAGACCGGTTAAACCACTTAAAATAGCACATGACCTTATCTTAATGAGATTCCTACGCATTTTATTCATGAGATAAAAAAGGTTATGACGTCATCGGTGTAAATGTATTCCTGCGCAAGTTAATGAAATTTCCCCCGCAAAAAAAAAAGGCCTAACCGGTCTCTTCTATACTACTGCCGTCGCCGTCCTTGTTGCTCAAACTCCTTTTTAACGGAATTCGACAGGGCCGCTTTAACCACTCTGGAGAGCGCTTCAAAAAAAAGATGTGGTCTCGATTAGCGGAATTCACTGGTTTGGTGTGAACGAAAGGCCAATTTGTGTCAAAAAAAAAAAAGAAATGATGTTTGTTGCTCTACTTACTTTGTTGCCAAAGGATATTTTCTGGTAACTTTTGCATATTTAGGGCCTTTGTCATCCAGGCGTTCATATCTCATGCTGTTTTGAACATTTTTAATGGCAGATTCAATGTGATCATTGATTTCATTATTCTTCACTGCTTCATTCAGATCAGTAAGATGCTTTTTTAAAGCGTCACAGCAAAGACGGAGCCTGTCTTTCTCATCCATAGCATCAGACCTGGGAAGTCAATCAAGAGTAATAATGTTGTTCTGGGCAAAAGAAGTCAATGCTCTTTACGCTTAGCTGAAGGGAGTCTCGTGCATAACTGAAAAGATCTATGCTCAATTTCACAAAAAAAATTAATTTTTGGAATTATAACAGGATTTTAACTATGGGCCAAAGCTTTGAAACGGTGGTTCATACTTTACACTTGTTTTGCTGGAAGGCTTAAATGTCGACTGTAAAATCATAACTCATAATTCCTTGAGTTTAGCCTGTTTTGCCAGTGACTTGAAATCAAATTCTTCCCAACACAAAGCACAATATTCTAAGGACGAAAAAAAAGCTGGACAACACTCTTTCAGAATCTAAGGTCAAGAAAGCTTATACTGAGGTTGGCAAAATCAGGGCAATTTCAGCCACCGTTAACAACGGCCTAACATTTGACTCAGAAGTTGTTAAGATCCTTGAAATCCTTTGTGGATACAGCTATAACATTTACAAGTGCATACATGGACAGATATTATATTTGAACGAGTTAGATAAATGGAGCAACTTGAAAGCCATAATTATAAAACATTAAGAGGACTTTACTTGGGTTACAGACAAAGTTGACGCCTGCTTACCGCTCTTTGTTAAACTTTTCCAAAGCTTTTGCCAAGTCTACTGTTGCTGAGAATCGTTGGTAGGATTTTCCAGTTGTGAGCTTGAGTGGTGGACTGTCAGTGCTTGATGAAGCACTTGCTGGTCCTCCAGAGTTTAAGACATCACGACGAAACTGTTCCACTGTCTTTTTTACATCCACAGAAAAAAACTCCCACAGTCTCAGTTTTGGCAAAACTTGATGACTGAAATTAAACACCCAGTAGTTAAAACGTTGGATAGTGCTATCCACAACATAAATCACTAACCAGTCAATAAGTATTAGGGAAACCAACTGTATTATGCACTGTAGAGAGATTTATCCAGGGAATAGGGTTATCTACTTTTTGTCAGATCATTTTGGTATTTTCTTGTTTGTTTGTTTGTTTTTAAGTAACTACCCATACATCTAACTCAATAACTCAATAACTTGACAATTTCTTATAATATTGGAAATCACTGGAGTCCAGATGGGAATCATGATAACGAGTCTGAATAACAATTCACATTACGAACCTAAATGCAGGATGAAATAAAGATCTTCAAAGTAGGGTTCTATTCCACATGGCAGTGTTCTCCCTCAGTAGAATTTTGGGAAGTCCAGGGGGTCTTCTGACTGATATTTTTAACAGTGTTCGTATGAAGCTTGCTGTAGCCAGAATAAGATTTTGATGAAGTCTTGCAATTGGGAATTTAATGTTAGTTCTTCACTTGGTCAGTAAGTAACAGTTATTCTTCTGTTTTTTCTGAGCCCCCTAAATGGCAGCTGCTTTCTCATAATCAAAGTCTTCTTCTGATTTTCAGTGTTTGGAATTAATAGATTTTGGAAGATTTGGTATCGTTTTAGGTCATGGTTTTTAAGCCAGGTGGCAATGATTTTCCAGTGAATTAAGCCAGGCAGCCCGCCTAGCCTTAGGCACCTGGGGAGAACAAAATTAGGTCTCAACCTTGCAATCTAAGGCTCAACCTATGCAAGGTAGTCCAAGACAGTCTTGGATTTTGGATTGCACAGATTACTTGTTGATTGGTGAAACTTGGGTTCCAGAATTCAGTTATTGTCCCTGGAATTCAGGAATTATTGAGAGCTGAATTCCAGATTACAACACCCAGGTTCTGGAATCTTACAAGGGGTGATAAGGTGTAACTGGTAAAAACAAACGTGCCCTTCATGTAAAATAATAAATAACTAAAGGAATTCTTACCGCAAGATTTCCCCAAAGCGATGAACATGTTCCTCAGTGTTAATTTCAGGAGGCAAGCCATCACTTGCCCATAAGCCATCAGCTACCTGACATGAAAAGTGCCAGAGAGCTCGATCCAACAAAAAAGCTGGTTTGAGGTGAGGGGAATTTTCTAGATTGTACGCACATTCAGGGTGTTTCCAGAGCCAAGGAGAGTTGTTAGCTGAGTGATTCAGTACAATGTCCACAACAGACAAAATCTTCCATTCCTTGCGTATCTTGTCAAGGAGGTCCTGGTAAGGTTAAAAACAGTTGAGTCAATTCAATGACCAAAAGCAAGCTAGTGAGCAGATCAAGGCCCAGTTTCCATGCAAAGCAACTAATGTGAGCTTTTTGTTTTGCTTTTTTTTCTTGCATAGCACTATATTTGGATAGCTCAGGGGGGTTAGATTAACAAAATATAGCTAACACAAAGATAGTAAAAGAAAATCCTTTCAGGTCAAACAGTTAGAAAACTCCCACTTTGTTATCCCACCAAACCCAGATTCTTATAAGCATAAAGCAGCTCTAGAATTTTGACTCTAAATACTACTTGCCACCCCTCGCTGAATAAACACCTGTCAACTGAAGTGTATGACTTATAACTCGCCATATACCGGTAACTTCATCTAATAGTGTTGTCCAGATTAAGAGGAAATAGGGAGCTGATGGGCCTACAGTTTATCGTAGGAATCAACAACCTGTCTACAAGCTTGGCACAAACCAGTACATATATCTAAACCAAACAAATTTAGCCCTTGTAATTTAAAAGTGTGTCACTTCTAGATGGTTGAGAAACAAATTTTGGATTTTTTTTCTTGATAATTGCATATAGTTTTATATTACTGTTACCTTTATTTCATCAAATGTAACCTTCTTCCCATCTGGTGAGTGATGTACAGGATTGACGGCTAGTTGATCTGCTAAGGAATATGAAGAATTTGACTTTCCGAGCTTCTGTATTGGTGTAAAATGGATCATATTGTAGCCTGTTTCTTTTGTCACCTATGAAAAATAACACTCTAATTAAAGTAAACAATTTATCATCATCATCATCATCATCATCATCATCATCATCATTATCATTTTCATTATTATTATCAATATTATTGAATCTACATGGAAGATAGTAAATCTTCATTCAAAATCAATATCATGGTACCATAGGTCCAGTTGCCGTGAAAGAAAATGCTTTGTGTTTCAAAAATAAATACTTCATTCTCTGTTTCTTTACCAGCTGGTGGAGACTGCGAGCAGTATCTCATTTTTCCTCTGAGTCACAGTAGATTGAGGTCTGGCCTGTGAGCAGGTTCTCCTCGTGCGAATGCGCGAGCGAGCAATGAAGCCACGAGGGGCCAAGGAATCTCCTCTCTTGTGCCTCTCGCGTGTCTACGTTTCTCGATATGCCCCAAATAGGGAGCTAACTTGCAGGCTAATTGAGAGCATCTGTGAGGGGAGAGTACAAAAGCACGAGGAATGACTGTGAGGAAAGAAGGGTGACTGCTCCTACTCTATGGCCAGTAGAAAGAAGAGCATTCCAGCACTTCAAAACAAGATAAATATTCTTCCAATTAAATCTGAATTGTCTTTTAGACACACGACAATTTTTTGTTATTGAAAGTTTATGAAGACACCAAAAACGTCTCTTTAAAACCAAGTTTGTCCCTACAGACATAGAGGATAGGATTTGAACCCTGGGAGACTGCTTGAAATAGTATATCTTGTAATTTAAAGAATGTAAACTGCCACTTTCAAGCCCCTCCCACATATAACACCCCCTTGCAGTTAGAGAACCATATGCACCTATAAATGACAAAATTATCTGATTATAACTACCCCTGAAATAAGCCCCCTTTAACCTGTATTGAAATGAACTAATTGATTTGCAAATTGATTGATATTGAATTGATTTAATACGAAGTTTCAAAGCTTGAATAAAACCAGTAAATGCAAATGTATTTTCTCAATCAGCACTGCTATATAGCTTGTTTCAAAATGCCTTAACTCTATTCTGGATAAGGCCCCCCAGATATATGCCCTTTAATTGGTTTATAAGCCCTCCTAAAACCCCTTGCGAAGATGTTTAAGCGCGGGGCTTATAGGAGGCAGTGTCTGCGTATGAGGTCCAATCTGACACACACATGTCACTAATGACAATTATAAAATAACTAACATATTAGTATGTGTGCTCTGATTGGCTGAGAGGTGTGTTTGCATGAGAGTATGTAAACATGGCTGTGATGTCACAATGTTTTGCTATTTGCACCCTAATAAGGCAAGCATGAATTTGAAAAAGTTTTTCAGTTGAAAACTCAAGAAGTTTACTCTATTTATACCCATTCCCTCATCCGCTGAAACTTGGAAAATCTTTACATAAGATGCTGTGTCAATTTTCTTTCAGTTGAGCTGACATTTTAAGCGAGAAAAATCCATATTTTGCAAAGCTTCTTTTTTGCAAAACAAGAACTGATTATGCATACAAGACTTTGTGTCCAAGACTTTGTGACTGGTGAGAATTTCTCTCTTAATCAGTGCCATAACAAGAGTTTTGCACTTTTTCTCGGGAAAGTTAATTTATAAATTAGCAATAGAAAACTCTTTCCCTGTTTTTGCATCTGCCTAATATAAACACAGGAGGGGTTGGGAGAATTCAAGACAGTTATGCAAACAGAGAATGCATAAACCTATAGAAAGGCCATTTACCTGATAAAATATGTATTCAAACTCCACTTTAAAAGGGTGCTTTTTGTGTTAAAAGATTTTGACCAATCACAAGAGTTGCAAACAATAGCCATGAAAATTTTACAGTTTTACATGTTCCCCACGGATTTCTATGTTATTCGGAATGAGATGAGATTTTGTTATATAGAAGTTGGTTAGAATTGTAGGATGAATATATATACTGCTTTATGAAGATTTCTCTTCACTTTTGCTGTCTAAGCCAATCAGAAGTAAAGTACAGACAATAGTAAAGTTAACACCTTTTTGCATGCAACATGTTCAAAGCTGTTGTTGCTTTCCTTCTTATCTGGACCATTACTTAAAGCCCAGGGCTTATAACGGGCAGTTTTGTTGAATGAGGTACAATCTGACACACACATGTACTACTGACCATGAGTCGATCATACCACTCTGTGAGTGGACCAAGGCATTTGCTAAGCACAGTTTGTAAGCTGACACATTCCAGTGGGATTGTCTCGTCTTTATTTACTCTCAGAACAGGATCTACATTGAAATATCCAGATGTTGTTCTTTTTTCCCTGCAAGGGAATTCAATAAGAACAATGTTGACAAATATTATTCTTCTAATTAATTAGAGTAATTTTATCCTATACTTACTTCAGGGCTGTCACTAAGGGTGTCTTTGATTGACTGTATTCCAGAATAAGAACACACAAAAGTTTTGTTGCAAATCTCTTGTGCCGTAATTTTAAGACCACTTAAACACCACATAGAGCAGAATATTTTATTTCAAGCAGACTTATAGATATTGCAATGCAATGAAAGCCAAATAAATGATTTCTCGAATTTACTTGTATTTCACTTATTCTTCTTTCGGAATACAGTAAATTGAACACGCCCTACAATTTCAGTTTGCCAGGTATATCCAATAATACCAGCCTTGTTCCCAGACCAGTTTGCTCTACAAGCAAGCAGAGGAGGCTTGGAACCAAGCGCAATAGCACAAGGTTGAATTTTTCTGACAAGCTTGACAGATGACATCACATCCAAAATCACCGAGGACAACTGGGAACAAGGCTGCAATAATATTAGCAGTCAGGAAATTGAACTGGGGGAAACTTCTTAATTATGTTATTCATCACTGCTTATCAAATGCAACTGCTAGGTGTTTTCTTTAAATTGAGTTTGCTATCTAGCCTAAAAGTGAACCCCTAAAGATGCTCCAAAAATTTTTTGGAGTTTGACTTTTTAGCAAAGGCATGAGAAATCAGTTGTCAACTCATAAGAGAATGAGATTAGCCGGAGAAAACAGCAGACATTTGGCGACGCTACCACTGGTTTCCCCACCAAATGACGTCTGATAAACGAGTGCAGAAATTCCATAGTGATGATGCGTCACTACCCAGATCTGAGTAGTGCTTCTGATTGGTTGAATCAAATTTCCCACGCGGTATGACCGATCAGAAGCACTACCCAAATCTAAGTAGTGACACGTCATCAGTATGGAATTTCTACGCTCGTTTCTCAAATGTCATTTGGTGGGGAAACCAGTGGTAGCGGCACCACATGTCAGCTGTTTTCTCAGGCTAGCATGAGATAGGTCATGAATTAAGAGAAATCGTGAGACTCACAACAAAGTCATGACACTTGGCAAGTCTGAATTTAAAACATATACCCAAAAGCTTACTCATCCTCTCCATTATCTTTGTAAGTAACATAAAAATGGAAGGCTCCAGCTGTTGATGCAGTCAGATCAGCAAATCTATCAGCATCATCACAAGGCTTTCCTGGTGGACATGTCCATGCCAACTCGTAATACTTATTTCTTTCAAAAGATTGCTTTCCAGGTGGTGGATGATTGCAGAACAAGTGAATGTCATAGGGTTGTAATGATGGGCCAAGGGTGAAACGGAGCTTCCATCCTGAACAATTCAACAAATCAGCTTAGCTCTTAATTATTTTGTTAAAACCAAACACTGAGTGAAATCATAGTTACTAACTATTTATGGTGAAATGTATCTGAATGTATCAAACAAGGCTGAAGAAATCTTTTTTAAAACTCAAGCTTTTAATAATAATAAATTATGAGAACGATAATAAAAATGATAATGAAAATGATAATGATAATGATAATAATAATAATAATGGCTTTATTCAACAATTCCACTAGGTGGCCCTTCATTAGAATAATACAAAATAATACAAAGTTTCATTCATTCAATCCAAATATCATATGTAAAATATTCTGGGCCGGGTTAACTTTCCTGAAATTAATTAGGGAGTGTACGTGCCAGCATGTCAAAAGCAAACAAGAGACAATAACCATGAATTCGCGATTTTAAGCCGACAATTGAATAGAAATGTTGCAAGTGATATCGCCTTTGGGTCAATATCTATATGAAACTGTTTGGGATTAATGTTTCGAAACACACATTTAACAATCAATGCCAGCCGGCCAGTGCCAATATCGATATGCAGACTTGGTTATCTGAATTTAATAATTCTAATGCAGCACTTCAGTTCAACAAATCTGTATTCTATCCACAAAACCGTATATCATTCATCTTCTATCTTTCAGTAATATAGACTTACCTTTTTCCAGCCTGTATAAATTGGTTTCCAAGTCATGTCGTGCATCAAGTTGAAGCACTCGCACTTGTACCGCCATTTTTGTAAACTCGGCGAACAGGCCTGGGGTCAAAAGATGCCTCAAAATACGTCAGCTCGATCGGTAGGTCACGCACGAATCTTCTGCGTGACGAGGATTACAAAAAATCAAGACTGGATTGCGGGGAAACCCTTGGCGCCGCGGTCGCTATTTTTAAATCGTCAGCTCCTTTTGTGCCTTCTCTACTTTATTTGTTATTGGCAGAAAAGTTCGACAATGATTTTTTGAGGTCTTAGTTTATTCCAAGCGAGGTAACGCCACCCTAGGGTCAGGGGAGAGGTTGCCCTAGGGTGGGGCGTTATTCATTCACAATTCCTTCAAGTGTAAATACACAAATTCACTGCAAAGAAAGAACTTGTTGCTCATTTGCAACAACAGCCAGCCAGCGAAGAGTTTGTGAGATCATGCAGGCATCCGTGGTTGCTTTCACTTGGAAATAGTCAGGAGGCAGCTCGCCAAAAAACGATTTTCGCTAAACATTTTGAGTAGAAGCAGGCAACATGGCTTAAAATCTTCGTCTTGCCATCCTGATTAAGAATTGTGTTGTTGCCCACTCCAAATGTTATGATATCTGTCATTAAGCGGGTTTTTTGTCTAGGCCCTCGCTCCTGCAGCATGAAAACGAGGCTGAACTGTAACATTTATATAAACTCAATAAAAAGTGCACAATACGATGGGGAAATAGCTGAATCTTTGCTACTTGACGTTTAGAGCTCGATAAACAGTAGTGTGGGAGATAAAATGCGTCACGTGATCAGGTATGAAGAGTCACGTGACTTTCCAATAAAATCGATTTTAAAGCATAAAAGTCGCTCTATTCACACTTTCCTTTAATATAGTTTTCAACTTACTGACGTTTGTCATTTCGATTTACACATCCAACAATAAAAACACAAAAATGCAATAGATGATCAGCTATGATGGGTCACGTGATGTAATGAAATCATTCTATTTTCAGTCATTCCATAGCGTTTCCAACGTATGTAGCATTTCCCATGAGTTGGGATTATTCATGTAAAAAGACTGAACTTTCTTCTACTTGGCCGCACGGTTTAAGCCAGAAATACAAGCTTATAAACCATAAGCAAAGTATCTTATACTACACAAGACCACCAAGTGACTTCCACCTTAACAAGGTTATAGGTCATGCTTCATTCGCCTCTGCTGTAGTGTTTCTGTCGTTTCTGCACCTGTCGCCACATTTACATGCCTTGGAACAGGAAAGAGATAGTTGAACGCAAGTGCAGCGTCGGTTTACACAGCATCCGCCTTCTCGGGAGCACCCACAGTATGCTAACTGTAAACACGCCGCTGACACCTCTTCTCGTGTCATTAACTTTGGCTTCAGAAGACCTTCACTGTAGTACCATCCACTGTCTACAGGCTTTAGGAGAGAAGGACATGGTTCCAGCGCTTTATTCCGTACCATGGTGTGGTAGTTTGCCCGATTTATGTGGAGAATCAGTGCATCTTGAGTAGGAGGTAGGGCGTCAAGATCTTTCTTAGATTTGCGAAACGCAAATTGATTTCCATCTCTTGTGTTCCCGGATTGTAGAGTTTGCATACAAAGGCTTGGCAAGAACGTCAGCACTGATTTGGCTTTCTTCTCCAAGGTGTTCCAAGAGGTCAGGTGCATCTTCGAAGACTTTCCATGCCGATGCTTTGCCCACACCATAGAACTGGCTTGTCGTATCACAGCCATGCAGTAATGGCATAAAATGCCAGAAGCGACTTCCTCTTCTCCTCGGAGAGCGGGATTCAGTGAACTGGTATGTAACGCCTTTGTCTTGATATGCCCGCAAACATCCATATATCTTGAAAAAGCTGCTCTCGGTATGCCAGAAGGAGGACAAGAACGTCCGTATCACTACACAAAATGTTGACTTGCTTGTACCCTCTTGCTGCTGCGTCTCGGGCATGCAGTACTATTCTAGTATCTGCCTACTCATGATCTGATGCGAGCTCTCTTATATCTTGTCGTGATGTGTCAGATGACCACACCTTCAGTGTATCCTTGAAGCCTCCATTGATCACCAGCTCTCGCTTAGGAGGCGCGCTGTAACTCTCCGAGATTTCAGTCGAGAGGAAATGAGCTAGGTTAGCCTTGTTACCTTCTAGAATGATGAACCTTTCCCAGTTTCCAGTTCTCTGATCTCTGTTATCCACATTGCGCCTAATCCCTGTGCTCTTTTTCTCCTTGCGCTTGTCTCTGGTTCCTCCTTTTATCGAGTTCTTGAGGCGAATGTATGAATTCAGTCTTTTTTAAATCGAGAAAAATAATTAAAAGAACCTATTTTTATATTAATTTTCAAAATACATTGCTCAAAATAAAACTTTTTGAAGCACATATTTACCCCACGAAACATAGTTTTTTAATTTCTTAATATAGAAAATAATTCCTGAAGAGCTTACTGAAACAATTAATCAATCACGCTATTCACACAGCTAAGGCTAATTCAGTATCTATTCAATGGTTGTTATCTAGTCACGTGACCCATCATAGCTGATCACCTATTGCATTTTTGTGTTTTTATTGTTGGATGTGTAAATCGAAATGACAAACGTCAGCAAGTTGAAAACTATATTAAAGGAAAGTGTGAATAGAGCGACTTTTATGCTTTAAAATCGATTTTATTGGAAAGTCACGTGACTCTTCATACCTGATCACTTGACGCATTTTATCTCCCACACTACTGTCTATCGAGCTCTAAACGTCAAGTAGCAAAGATTCAGCTATTTCCCCATCGCATTGTGCACTTTTTATTGGGTATATATATAAATGTTACAGTTCAGCCTCGTTTTCATGCTGCAGGAGCGGGGGCCTAGACAAAAAACCGGCTTAATGACAGATATCATAACATTCAGGAGTGGGCAACAACACAATTCTTAATCAGGATGGCAAGACGAAGATTTTAACCCATGTTGCCTGCTTCTACTCAAAATGTTTAGCGAAAATGAAAAATGAGCGCCCTGCGTGACAGTGCTTCCTGACTAAAAACTTTGTAAGGACTTTAGAGATAAATTGCAACTGATTGTTAAGATGCAAAAAGAGGATTTTCAAGGTTTTAAAAACAGCAATACTGTTAGACTGTGCTATTTTATTTCGTTTCTGAACGGGGTGGGCTCGATGACAATTCCCAGCCCCAAGCGGTGGTGGGAGGGAAGCGGTTTTGTCAAGTCGCCATGTTTTCCCCAGGGAGTTTCTGTCACTAACATGGACACGAGGCTACATGTACCGCTGAAACTCGATATGCTCCAAATACTGTGAAATTTCGCGATCTTCTCGTTTGCACGTGTTCGGCTGGAAGAAGTTCCTATTAAAGAGCTAAGGATTCTCGCTGTTTACTAAAACACTGCTCGAAAGATGGACGGTGGCTCACGTTGGCAGCCGGCGCCAAGAAATGAAGACTCTGGCCATGGTGAAAGAATGACAAGTTATAACAGCAGGTAGGAGTAAACAAATCCCATGTGCGCTCGTTTGGATTATGAATGAGTGGTTGTTCCCGGGGAGTTCCCTTGTGGTTGTGAAATGGACTTTTCATGTGAAATGGTGTTTTTATGCTCATTAATTTTAGCTTTCACGGTTTGAAACCTTGTCTTACTCTAGTAGCATGATCCTGCTTCCTCCATTTTACCGGTTGAAGCGAAATTAAAGCTTGCGCCCTTCTGTTAAAAACACCCCGAGTTCAATGGCGCGGAAAGATTGGAGTTTATCCTCTATATAAACTTAACTTAAATCAGCTTTAGGTCAACTACTTATCTCATTGAACTTGTCCACCGTGTTACTTTTCGAAACCAAGCAGGTGTTTCGCTGCAAACAAAGTCGAAAATAATAACTGACTACCAAGAGAAGTGTTCCAGGGCATTACCAGGGAGCGATTCCAGACAATTCGCCCCCAGACAATAAGCCCCCGACAACTAGCCCCGAGATTATGGACTTAAGTTTCACATCGTAGATTAAGTTTAACATTAGAATTTGTTTAAGTAGATTTGAATTGTGAACTTATATATCTTTAGTTAGTTAGTTTCCTTTAGCTAGGCTTTAATGGGTGATTGACTTCCATAGTGTGACCATAAAGCCTTACTTGTCTCCCCGGTGCTATTTTATGCATGCCGGATTGGAGAAGTTCAGGTAGGTCCAAAAGAAACAAACTTGATGTGGCCTAACACCCCATGGCACTACTAGCAGAAACCTCCGGCCAGCATCGTGCGACTTAATGTAACAGTGTAGGCAATTATTCTTTTCCAGGAACTTTATCTTTTCAGTACTACGAGCCGACTCTGCCAGCACCTGCTGGCTGGCACATCCTGCACTACAATCAAAATAATATAAAAGTCTGTGTTAAAATCAAAGCTTGGGAAAGTCGCTGTGAGACTAAAACCAAAACTAGGCGAAAGAAAGCGGTGAGCCCTTGTTTATTGAGAACAACAACAAAACCTTCAAAGGAAGGAAAGGGTGGGAATTACAGAACTTCAGGGTGGTTGAACTATTACAACTTAGCAATACAGCTCAAAGAGGCACAGGATTTTTACTAGGCCTTTTATAGCAGTCAGACTGCTATCTGAGGGTAAGCCAAGGATAAATGCTGTACCACTGAATTGAACGTTCACCTTAGGTGCTCAACAAGATATGCATGAGGATAATTATCTTTGGTAGCCATACAGTGATACATTAGAAACTACCCATAACTGCAACATAAACAAGGATTGCTATTACATCCATAATTTCCCAACTGTGGGAGTGATTTTACTAACCAGCGATTTTGCCTAGTACAAGTAAAACTCTACTAGATGTGATAAGGGCTGGTGTAACGTTGCTTTACATGTTGCTGATTGAGGGTACTGAGTCACGCTCCAGTAACTTGATTGCAATATGGTGGATGTGACGTCATGTGAATATGCTGTACTGTACACTACACTTTACTGTACAATTGTAATGTTACTGGTAAAATTAAAATCAGGTTAAAATTTTTTTCCACTTAGGTTGAATCTCAATTTCCTTTGTCTCCTAGCCCTAATTATTCATGAATTAGGGCTAGGACATGAAAAAAATTGAGAATCAATCTAGGTTAAAAAATTTTGACCTGAATTTAATTTAATTAGGTCTTGGAGACAAGGAAATTTGAGAATCAACCTAGGTTAAGACATTTTAACTTGAATTAATTTTAATTTTGACCTGTGACGTACACACAAGGAAACTCAAGGTTGGATGATCTTAAAGGGACTGGTTCACGGTAATGCGCATGTGTGAGTTCTGACAGTAGCTGATTGTTTTTCAACCAATCGGAAGCGAGTTAGATGCACACAAATAAATTTACAAAATTCAAATTAATTGTTCACGACGCGAGAGTATTTCCGGGCATTTGGTTTGATTTGATTTATCCCCATAATTCAAGTTTATTCTTTGCTACTCCTCAGTTATATGTTGCAGCCGATAAGAATAAGATTTACAGCCCTGTCCTGCTTTGAAACAAACATTTACCAACGTGTATTTTTACGAGGTCGTACCCACGCTAACAAAGCAGTCACCGATCGGCAAACAAAATTTGTCAACAAACATCTTATTACTGTTCTCTCAGTTCGCCTTATTTAAACCCTGAAATACCTACAAATACCGCCTGACCGGTGACAAAAACACACAACGTATGAGTATAAAGATTATCCTTAATTGAGCATAAATTTCAAATGCTTATCAGCAAATGAACAAATTCATTCGCGTTACATCGGGTCAGTGTTCCGCAAAACAAATGTTATTGAGTAGCACACATAAAGAAACTATATTATAAACAGAATATTCAGGCAATAATTTATTTTAAAAACATCAATTCTTAAACATATACGATCGTAAATCAAAGATACAAGGAACATTTCAAGTGTACCAGATCGGTGAAGATCACGCGGCCTGTTGCGGTATAACTACAGGTCGGAGTCAAAAATCAAATCAAAGTTGAACGAACTCGTGCCTTTAACCACTTTCCAAGTGTCGTGTATTCTTTTTGTAAGCCACACACTACTCCTAGAACCATACCAGATCGATAGGCTAAGCTTCTCTTTCTCCTAAGACTCTTGAGAACGTCCTGTTGCCGGACGGCCACGATGCTCTTCTGAACCTCCATGATCAAAACATTATTTTTTGCATCTTCTTAAAACGTAACCAGTCAAACGACACAACCACACGTTAATCACCACTACCGAAGTATAACTAGACCAGCCAAAGCGACGGATGTCCGAATAAAACGAAGGATTTTCAGTGATTGTACCGGTAATGGCGATTTCGAATTTAGTGTTGACCCAACAAATTTATTCTGAAGAGCCAAACGGCGCGCATGCACATTATCGTGAACCAGTCCCTTTAAAAGCAATGTTTGATGGAAATCAAAGTTTAATCAACATTATCAACAGCTTGCAACATGGTAACCATATAAGTGCAACGTGGGAAATTCAACAATGTTGCATAAGCACGTTTCACTTATTTGACCAGATGAAACCAATGGATAACGTGGGGTACTGCGTGATGCGATTCTTGTTGCACAGGAAATGAAACACGACTGGTAACTGACCTTGGAGCGGTACTGTACATTGTATACATCAATATCAAGTCCCTTGAAGCCTTATACCATGCACTCATACAAATGTAATAATTTATTGGTTGTTATTTTTTTAGTTATTCAGGTCCCAAAGGGAGTAATTTTTCTGGCAGATCTCCAAGACGAGAAGAGCACAAGGTCTACATTAAAAATGTGCCATTAGACATGGATAAGGTGAGTTGTTGTTCTTTTAATAACAGAATCTATAACAACAACAAAAACA